GGGAAGCCGGATTCCCTTCACAGCCGCGTTACTAACTTCACAGCTGCGGTGATTCACTTGACACCGGTGGACAGAAAGGTCGTACAGTGGGGGAAAGCTCACTGAACAAATGCCTCGCTTAGCCACAGAAATGTGGGGCTCAATTGTTGGTTGTGAAGATGAGGATTACCTCAGTTGTTGGTCGTAAAATGAGGATTACCTCAATTGTTGGTTGTAAGATGAGGAGAAATAAAAATGCAGGGCTCAATTGTTGGTTGTAAGATAAGGATTGCCTCAATTGTTGGTCATAAAATGAGGATTACCTCAATTGTTGGTCGTAAAAATGAGATTACCTCATTTGTTGGTCGTAAAATGAGGATAAATAAAAATGTGGGGTCAATTGTTGGTCATAAAATGAGGATTACCTCAATTGTTGGTCGTAAGATGAGGATAAATTTAAGAAAGAAATAAAAAAGGATAATGCACCAGTCAGGAGCCCTCAGGCCCCAAAGCAGCCTGCTTAGAAAAATTAAATATACAGTATATATATATATTTTTTCCTGGCACGTACGGAGGGCGCCTGCTTGATGGAGGAGGCTTGAATACGAGAGTCGACCGAAGGAGCCTGCCTCTTCTCTCGCCAAGGAAGCCAGGGAAAACTCTCGTCCACGAGGATGCAAATTCCTGGCAAGCGGTCACGATAAACAAGACCAAAATTGACCAGGGAAGCAGACCTTCCCTGCTTCTGCAGCCTGAGGTGGGGCACATCCAGATTCTCAGCATACTTTAGCCAGAAATCTGGAGATAAGCGTCTCTATGGGGCTTCCTAGGAGAGGGAAGAGGCGAGAGAGGAACTCTCCAACCCAACCCAACCCTCCTAGAGAGGGAACTCGTGGTTCCAAGAGGAATGTGAACATCCGAGGGAGGGTCAGAAATATCCCATTTTGTCCTCACGGGGGAACTGGGGTGGAACTGGTGGAGCTTCATTGTCCAGAGCGGCACCTACCGTCCCTGTCCTAATTTTTTCTTTTATTCGTATCCTTTTCACGTATTTATCATTACTTGTATCTGTCATAAAATGCAGGCTTGACGAAATAAAATAAAATAAATCTCCTTGCAGAAAGGCAAGGCAAGAAACAACGGAGGGAAGCTAACCAAGTATACAAGTTTAATAATAAAACAAACAACAGAACAAACCAAGGAGAGAAACAACCTGGAATTAAGGAAATGGTTAGAGAGTTTCCTGCCTGAGCAGGGGGTTGGACTAGAAGACCTCCAAGGTCCCAGTTCCAACTCAATTCTAATTCTGCTCGGTTCTATTAGTCTATTCTATGGAGAAACTTCCTAACAGCGAGAACAATGAACCAGCGGAACAGCTTGCCACTAGAAGTTGTGTGTGGGTGCTCCATCGCTGGAGGCTTTTAAGAAGAGACTGGACAGCCACCTATCTGACATGGTATAGGCCAGGTGGGTCTCCTGCTTGAGCAGAGGGCTGGACTAGAAGACCTCCAAGGTCCCTTCCGGCTCTATTCCGATTAATCGAAAGATTTTCCCAAGCCCTGGCAGCTTATAACTTTTTTCTTTCTTTTTCTTTTTTTTTAATTTCAGGGCTGCAGTGGACTCCGCCTTGGTTGTGCTTAGAGCAGCAGAAAAAACAACAATGAACTGACCGGTGATCCAGAAATTTTACTTCTAAATGGTAGATATTCTAGTTAGGGCAGAAATGAACATAGTAGGGTTTGAGGGTGATGGCACCACACCCCGCTTTTCTTCAATTCTAGCTCGCTGCAGACTGGGCGCACCAGAAACGCCAGGAGAAGTCCCTGAGCTGGGAGGGAGCACCCAGCCCCGAGGCCGGCCTCGTCTCCGGGGAACGTGTGCGTTTCCACAGCCTGTTCCAACAAACCAGGTTTTTTTGGCAGGCTTCCACCTTTATCCTTGCGCCTTCAGGAAGCTTCTAGATGGGCTGGAGGAGGATGGAAAGAAGCACTAATAGAGACACCAGCTTGTTCCAATCGGCTGTCTTCTGGATTTATGGAAGTTCTCCGTCATCCAGGTCCCAAAGGTGCTTTTTTTTTTTTTTTTTTGCTTTAATTTATATGCCACCCTTCTCCGGAGTACCAGAAGGCAGGACAAGAAGCAATGGGTGGAAACTAGAGAAGCAAACTGGAATTAAGGAGAAATTTCCTGACAGTGAGAACCAATAATCAGTGGAACAGCTTGCCTTCAGAAGTTGTGAATTCTCCAACACTGGAAGTTTTAAAGAAGAGATTGGACAACCATTTGTCCGAAATGGTAGAGGGTTTCCTGCCTAAGCAGGGAGTTGGACTAGAAGACCTCCAAGGTCCCTTCCACCTCTGTGATTCTAACTTCTAACCTTGCCAGCCATTCCAAGTACCCTCCCCAGCCTCTACACAGTTTTTCCCATCTATTGATAAACCTCCTTCTGTCACCTATATTTTTATTTATTTCCTGCCTTTATTATTTTTATAAATAATTCTAAGGCGGTGAACACACACAGAGCTCCTTCCTCCTCCTATTTCCCCACAACAACCACCCTGTGAGGGCATTGGACGGAGAGAGAGTGATTGGCTCAAAGTTGCTCAGCTAGCTTTTGTGACTAAGGTGGAAGTAATACTCACTATCTCTTCATGCTTGGCCCAAAGTCACTCAACTGCTTTCATGCCTAAGGTGGGACTAGAACTCCCTGGACCCTGGTGATTGGCCTAAAGTCACTGGCCGGCTTTCATGCCTATGGTGGGACTAGAACTCACCGTCTCCTGGTGATTGGCCCAATTTCACCCAGCTGGCTTTCATGCCTAAGGCGGGACGAGAAATCACCGTTTCCTGGTGATTGGCCCAAAGTCACCCAGCCAATTTTCACGTCTAAGGCAAGACTAGAACTCACCATCTCTTGGTGATTGGCCCAAAGTCACCCAACCACCAATCATGCCTAAGGTGGGACTAGAACTCCCTGTCTCCTGGTGATTGGCCAAAAGTCACCCAGATGGCTTTCCTTCCTAAGGTGTGACTAGAACTCACTGTCTCCTAGCTTCTAGCCTGGTGCCTTCCCCCCTAGACCTCTGTCCTACGTGCTATAGTAAATCTATATCCACTATTCATTTCTGACTTTTCTCAGAAGACTGCTGGGTAGTTCCCAGACCAAGGAGACACTTAGTACTTTTAAATATTCTGCTTGCCGTCCTTGGCATACGACCGGTGTAAGACAAGTTTAACATCCCAACACAGTCACACAACACTGTATTATATTTTTCTTAAAAGGGTCGTTTTAGTCCTCCTCAAAAGCTTAAGTTAAGAAAACAAAGAAACGGACAATTGAAAGAGCGGCTGATGTAAAGATTAGGCTGAATGTTTACTCAGCTCTAGTTTATGCACAATTACAGTTTCCTTTCCCCGTACAAATGTATTGCCCCAAGCACAAAGTAAACGAAAAGCGAGCGAGCAAAAGAGAGAACCAACACTGCGTTCACGGGATTTCGTTAATGCAAGAAACGTGCAAATCGTGACGAGCTGAAACAAGTAAACATTTCATTTTTAGATTATTCTCGCTTGCTTCCATGGATTTTTTTTTTTTTATTTCCCCAAGACGGGATGACCCCACCCATAACTCTTGGCAGGCGAAAAACCTGAAATGGCTAAGGCCAGAATATAGGTGCACTTTTTTCGCTCCGCTTCAAAGCAATTCCCCTTAAAAAAGACGGAAGAGAAAGAGGGAGGGTCTTGTACACCTGTGGGGAATGCAGGGCTTCTCACCTGCTCTGGAAGTTATTGAGATTTCTCTGGCAAACCAGAGTACAAAAACTGGAATTTCCATACAACGTTGAAGGAACCCCCAGTAGGCTGACAGATTTAACAGCTGAACAGAGGTGGAAGGGACCTTGGAGGTCATCTCGTCCAACCCCCCCACCCCACCCAAGCAGGAGACCCTACACCATTTCTGACCAATGGCAGTCCAGTCTCTTCTTGAAAGCCTCCAGGGATGAAGCTCCCACAACTTCTGAAGGCAACTTCTGTTCCACTGCTTGACTGTTCTCACTGTCAGAAAATTTCTCCTTATTTCTAGGTTGAATCTCCCCTTGATCAGTTTCCATCCATTATTCCTTGTCTGGCCTTCAGGTGCTTTGGAAAATAGCTTGGCCCCCTTCCTCCTCTCTGTGGCAGCCTCTCAAATATTGGAAGATGCTCTTCTGTCTCCCCTGGTCCTTCTCTTCCCTAGACTAGCCATGCCCAGTTCCTGCAACTGTTCATCGTATGTTTTAGTCTCCAGTCCCCTCATCATCCTGGTTGCTCTTCTCTGCACTCTTTCTAGAGTCTCCACATCTTTTTTATAGTGTGGTGACCAAAACTGGATGCAGGACTCCAGGTGTGGCCTTACTAAGGCTTCATAGAGTGGTATTAGTACCTCCCTTGATCTTGATTGTATCCCTTCCAACTCTGTTAAGGAGAAGGAGAAGAGAGGGGGAGGAGGAAGAGAAAAAGAGAGAAAGGAGAAACGGAAAAAGAAGGAAGAGAAAGAAGAAGGAGAAAGGAGAAAGGGAAAAAGAAGGAGAAAGGGGAGAAGGAGAAGGAGGGGGAGGGGAGGAGGAGAAAAGAGAAAGGGAAAAAGAAGGAGAAAGACAAAGGAGAAAGGAAAGGAGAAGAAGAGGGAGAAGAAAGGGAAAAAAGGGAAGAAGAATGAGAAGAGGGAAGAGGAGAAGTTGGTGATGGAGGATATATATGCAGAAAATGAATACAAACAGATGTAACTCTGCTTCTGAGTCACGGTGGACAGAGTCTGGCTTACACAGCCTGACAAATCATGGTCTAAAAATCATGTATGACTTAGCAAGTCAAGAGTGGGGAATTACAGGAGCTGCAGACCGAGGGCCACAGACGTCCCAGCCCTAAACTGGACGGCCCTGGGTTGGCTTTGAACCGCATCACTCCATGGATGAAGAAAAGGCACCTTCTCCAACGAGGCAGGAGGAACCTGGGCAGGTTCCCACCACCTTCTACCTTACCTCGGCTGACCCGCTGCTTAGCTCCTGACAGGATGCCCGGCGTGTCGATGAGGCTGATGCTTTCGAGAACCTGGTTGGGCAAGTGAGCACACATGAACCTGTAGAGAAAGAAAAGAACGGAATGAAATTCGATTTGTTCAGTTTTATTCAAAGCCTCAAAGCCGCCTAGACCGGAGGTCTTCAAACTCGGCAGCTTTAAGACTTGTGGACTTCAACTCCCAGAATTCTCCAGGCTGGAGAATTCTGGGAGTTGAAGTCCACAAGTCTTAAAGCTGCCGAGTTTGAAGACCTCTGGCCTAGACTCTGGACCAGGGGTATCAAACTCAAGGCCTGGGGGCTGGATCCGGCCCGCAGTGCTTAGATTTGGCCCGTGGGGCCACCCTGGAAATAGCAAAGGACCAGCCTGCGGTGCCTCTGCCAGCAAAAACGGAGCTCCTGAGGGCCACGTGCGCCCCCCCCCGAGCTCCATTTTCACTGACAGAGAGTCACAGGAGGCCATCCCAGCCGAAAACGGAGCTCGGGAGCCCGTTTTCGCTGGCAGAGCGCTTGGGCCATCCCAGGCGCCCCCCCCCAACACAAGTGATGTCATGTTGGCCACACCCACCCTGGCCACGCCCTCCCACTCAGTCCCCCTCGGTCAAACACAACCCTGATGTGAAATTGAGTTTGACACCCTTACTCTAGAGTAACCTCTGATGAGAAGGGTGGCATACAATTTCGATAGATAGATAAATAGATAGATAAGTAGATAAGTAGATAAATAGATAAATAGATAATAGAGCCTTGGTAGTACAGGGGTTTAAGGCACCCTGTTATTAAGACCAGCTGCCTGCAATTACTGCAGGCTTTGAATCTCGCCAAGGCTCAAGGTTGACTCAGCCTTCCATCCTTTCTAAGGTAGGTGAAATGAGGACCCAGTTTGTGGGGGCAATAAGCTGACTTTGTATAAATATACAAAAGGATGAAGGCTATTGCTTAGCACATTGTAAGCCGCCCTGAGTCTCCGGAGAAGGGCGGCATATAAATCAAATTTTTTTAAAAAATAGATAAATAGATAAATAGATGAATAGACGAATAGACGAATAGACAAATAAACAGATAAATAGATAAATAGATAAATAGATACCCTGTTTCCCCAAAAACGAGACATCCCCTGATAATAAGCCCAATCGGGCTTTTGAGCGTATGAGCTAAAATAAGTCCTCCCCGAAAATATTTAAACACAGAGCTGGAAATCAGGTAAGACGGCAAGAGGAGCCCCATCTTGCTCCATGCGCCCCAAAATAATAAGACCTCCCCGAAAATAAGGCCAAGCACTTATTTCGGGATTCAAAAAAATATATAAGACAGGGTCTTATTTTTGGGGAAACACGGTAGATAAATAAACAAATCAATAAACTTCATTCCAAGATAAGATCAGCTTCCACTTTCTTTTGCAAAGTCCTGAAACATGGTTCTGCCAACGGGCCTGGGGTCCCCAGAGTGAGACGGACCCCCATCAAATGGTTGGTCTGATTGTTGTCACCAGGGTGGTGGGGGAGGGGCATATGGCACAGTGGGGTTTTTATCGTTGTAAGCAGCTCGAAGTCACCGTGAGTGATTTTGGGTGGCCACATCGATGTTCTTAACGGATAAATAAATCTGTTTTTAAGGATTCTATTTTTAAATGGAGGGTGGATGTTTTAGTCATCCGTGTATCGTTCCTAAACCGTCAACAGCCCCCTGGGATTGAGGCAGGGTATGCATGCGATAAATACACCAGCAAATATGATTATAATGACAATCACATATGGAGTTATTTTCCAAGCTGGAATGAAAGGAGGAGGCATCATAAAGTTAGATCAAATCAGGCATGGAAGGTCGTAAAATGGGGGAAAACTCGCTGAACCAATGTCTCACTTAGCAGCAGAGAATTTTGGGCTCAATTGTGGCCGTAAATTGAGGACGATCTGTATTTGAGGGGTTGCCACAAAGAAGTGGGGGGGGGTTTCAACCTATTCTCCAAAGCACCTGAGGGCAGGACAAGAAGCAACGGATGGAAACTAACCAAGGAGAGAAGCTACCTGGAATTAAAGAGAAATTTCCTGGCAGTGAAAACTTTTCACCGGTGGAACAGCTTGCCACCAGAAGTTGTGAATGCTCCAACAGTGAAGGTTTTTAAGAAGAGATTGAACAAGCACTTAGGAGAGGTGCCTAGAGGTGAAACTCTCGCTTTACAATCAGGAGGCTGTGAGTTCGATCCTAGGCAGAGGCAGATATTTCTCTCTCTGGGCACAATGAGAAATATATCCGCTGAACAAAACTCCGTATTAGTGACAGGAAAGGCATCCAGCCAGTAAACACTCTGCTAGCTCCATTCAGTTGCCCAGACTCCACTCCAGCAAGGGATTATGGGGTCGTTAAAAGAAGAAGATGATGATGATTGAACAAGCGCTTGTTTGAAATGGTGTAGGGTTTCCTGCCTGAAGAAGGGGGTTGGACTAGAAAACCTCCAAGGTCCCTTCCGACACTGTTACTCTGTTATTTCTCTTTTGTCGCATCTGCCAGTTTTCGCTTTCCTACTCTTTCACGGCGTTACCTCGGCAGCTGAGATGGATCTCAGTTCTGCAATTTGGAAAGGAGCCACCCTGCTCCTCCTCCTCCTCCTCCTCCTCCTCCGTTACCCCACAAGCAGCTGTTCTTTCTTTATTAGCGGCGCTGAAGCTTCCCAGGAATTTTGGCACTGGCAGCCGGTCTCAACGGTGGGGCCTGCCGTTCCTTGAGCCCAGCAGTAGCAGGCTAACCATTCCGATTTTTCTTTCTGATTGTTTCAGAAGCAGCGGGAAGATATCACAGACAAAATCCCCAAGACACTGCCAAATATATATATATATATAACCCTTTATTTCTTTATCAGCAAATATAAATTTGGTATAAAAATGGTTTGTCGTGAATGCAACTGCTTTTGAGGGCTCCTGGATTGGAGCTGAAAGGCGAAAGGGAAGCAGTATTTTTATTTTTTTTTTAATTTGATTTATATGCCGCCCTTCTCCGGAGACTCAGGGCGGCTTACAATGCGCTAAGCAATAGCCTTCATCAGGAAAGTATCTTACACGTCAGTGTAACGGACTTGCACAGTGTTAATAAAATCTGCTTTTTAAACAAGGGTGTAAGTCTAGCATGGTCTTGGAATGTCACTCACTTTCCTGACAGTTAGAACAACTAACCAGTGGAACTGCTTGCCACCAGAAGTTGTAAATGCTCTAACACTGGAGGTTTTTAAGAAGATGTTGGATAATGAGGACCCAGATTGTAGGGGGCAATAAGCTGACTTTGTATAAATATACAAAAGGATGAAGGCTATTGCTTAATACATTGTAAGCCGCCCTGAGTCTCCGGAGAAGGGCGGCATATAAATTAAAAGCAAAAAAACAAAAACAAAAAACAGTTGTCTGAAGTGATGGAGGGTTTCCTGCCTAAGCAGGGGGTTGGACTAGAAGACCTCCAAGGTCCCTTCCTGTTCTGTTCTATTCTATTCTATTCTATTCTATTCTATTCTATTCTATTCTATTTCTATTCTATTCTATTCTATTCTATTCTATTCTATTCTATTCCATTCCATCCCATCCCATCCCATCCCATCCCATCCCATCCTATCCTATCCTAAATTGCATTAACAGAGGGATATGATTAAGATCAAGGGAGGTACTAATACCACTATGTAAATCCTTAGTAAGACCACACCTAGAGTTCTATTCTATTCTATTCTATTCTATTCTATTCTATTCATTCTATTCTATTCTATTCTATTCTATTCTATTCTATTCTATTCTATCAAGAGGATGCTGGCAATTTTTGTCTTTTTTCACCTTCAGTCACATCTGTCTGTTCACTGGGTATGCTCCTTCAGTCTTTAAAATTCATCTCCTGTAATGCTTCTGTTAGGTCTAAATCCAATTTTGGAGTCCCAGCTGATAGTCCCTTTCGTGGGGGAAGAGGTAAAGCCAAAAAGAAGGGCAGCAACAGCTGCCAATTTTTTTGAGTGGGGCAAAGGGTGGAGTTGAAGTTTTTTAAAAATGCCTCGACCGAGGAAGAAGCACGGCCCAGCCTGTCTAAACAAATAGGCTAAAAATGGGGCTCTCGTGAAACTAAGCAGAGGCATTAAATCCCAGAGATTTTCCATTCTCCGGAGGTCCCAAAGGTGCTTTTTAAAAACTCAACTGGACTTCCTTTGTTTTTTTCCTTGAAGACGTTTCACTTCTCCTCGTAGAAGCTTCTTCGGATCTGACTGCAAGTCGTCTGGTTGTTAGCCTGCAAGGAATATAAATCCTTCCATCCTCCACCATTCAGTCAGAACCGAAGAAGCTTCTAGGAGGAGAAGTGAAACATCTTCAAGGAAAAAACAAAGGAAGTCCAGTTTGACTTTTTTTTTTATTGCAAAAGTTTTACAATTACATTTTCACCCCTTTCCCCCCCCACCACCCACCCCAAACTTCCCAACCTCCCTAACCCTCCCTAACCCTCCCCTCCCCCCAGACTTCCCTATATTATATTCATATCTGGTAAAGAAAGATAAAAAAAAACAAAAAAAACCCACCCCCCTTAATATAAAACTTATGTAAAAACTTGAACCCCTCCCTCCCCTTTATAGTTTTTCTTTTTACCCTCATTACATTAAAATATTTCTAATACATTATTTTCAAATAAAAGCTATTTGATACTTTCTAGTTTGATATTTGTTCTGAACATATTCTATCCACCTTTTCCATTCCCATTCATAAGTCTCTTGTGAACTTGACTTTTTAAAAAGCACCTTTGGGACCAGAAAATGGAAAATCTCTGGGATTTAATACCTCTGGTTAGTTTCACGAGAGCTCCATTTTTAGCCTATTTGTTTAGACAGGCTGGGCTGGGCTTCTTCCTCTGTCGAGGCATTTAAAAAAAACATTCAACTCCACCAAAAAGCATTTTTGGGACAACTGTGATGTGGGTGGCTGAGAACCTTCCTCCCAGACCTTCTTCTGGAGCAGTGGTGAAATCCAATTTTTTTTACTACCGGTTCTGTGGGCGTGGCTTGGTGGGTGTGTCAAGGGAAGGATACTGCAAAATCCCCATTCCCTCCCCCCACTCTTGGGGGAAACATATTGCAAAATCTCCATTCCCATCCCACTCTGGGGCCAGCCAGAGGTGGTATTTGCTAGTTCTCCGAACTACTCAAAATTTCCGCTACCGGTTCTCCAGAACCTGTCAGAATCTGCTGGATTTCACCCCTGCTCTGGAGGCAAACTTCAATCAAGAGTGATTTTACTGGTTTAGAATTTACAATAACAGAGTTGGAAGGGACCTTGGAGGTCTTCTAGTCCAACCCCCTGCTTAGGCAGGAAACCCTACACCACTTCAGACAAATGGTTATCCAACATCTTCTTAAAAACTTCCAGTGTTGAAGCATTCACAACTTTTGGTGGCAAGCAGTCCCACTGGTTAATTGTTCTAACTGTCAGGAAATTTCTCCTTAGTTCTAAGTTGCTTCTCTCCTTGATTAGTTTCCATCCGTTGCTTCTTGTCCTGCTGGTGCTTTGGAGAATAGCTTGACTCCCTCTTCTTTGGGGCAGCCCCTGAGATATCGGAAGACTGCTCTCATATCTCCCCTTCATCAATTGGTGAGATAACATTGTGAATTTTTTAAAAAAACTTTTGGGAAGCCATCTTGGTTAGATGCATACAACGCACTAAACCCTGATTACAAAGGAGAGGTTCGCATAACCAACTAAGTTAGACCTAAATCAACTTTACTAGGGTTTAGTGCAATGTGTGAATGGATCCTGCTGGCAGGGGACAAGTCTGGGAAGAAGGATTGGTCACGGCTATTCCCTTCTCCTACCATACATTCTAATATTCTTCGATAGCAGAGATTCTGATCTATTGGACTTCAGAACCCAGTTAACACCTTGATTTAATCTGATTCGTGTGTACCGCAAACCCAGTGAAGGTTTTCAGTAACCAAGGATATCCCAAAGGGGTTTTTCCAAAGGCTTCCTTTGTTTTTTTCCTTGAAGACGTTTCGCTTCTCACCCAAGAAGCTTCCTCGGTTCTGCAACCAAGGATGTAGGGCTTAGTGTGTTATGAACCCAGGTACATGGTTTATTGAACTAAACCATGATTTAAACCGGGCAGCTTTAATGTGTTGTATGATCTAGACCGAATCTACAGAGGGTCAAGGATGGAAAAGGAAATGATGAGAGCTTGGCCATGATTTCTTGGCAGTCAGAGAGCCTTTGAAGAAGGGAGCTAATCAGAGGTGGGTTTCAGCAGGTTCTGACCAGTTCTGGAGAACCGGTAGCAGAAATTTTGAGTAGTTCGGAGAACCGGTAGTAAAAATTCTGACTGCCCCCCGCCCCATCTATTCTCTGCCTTCCGAGTCCCAGCTGATTGGGAGGAAATGGGGATTTTGCAGTAACCTTCCCCTGGAGTGAGGTGGGAATGGAGATTTTATAGTATCTTCCTCCTGCCACGCCCACCAAGCCATGCCACGCCCATCAAGCCACACTCACAGAACCGGTAGTAAAAAAATTTGAAACCCACCATTGGCTCAGCTAATCCTATTATTTTACAATCTCAAGGTTCGCATTTAATTCAGGCTCTTCCTTTCCCCCCACAACTCTCACGATGGGTGAATTGCAGGAGGGACAATGGTTTGGGTTTTCCTGATCAAATTTATAGAATAATGTTATTTTTTTCTTTTTAATGCAAAAGAGAAAGATATCAAAAGGGGAAACTAGCAGCAAAATCCTTAGGACTGTCATCTCAACTGGCAAGAAGAAAAAAAATTCATTAAAAAAAAAAATATTTTCCAGCCTAGATAGGGTGAAGTTGCTGAAATTCCCACTTCTTCTCTTCTGATCGACGTTTATGTACATTTTAGGGCTTTCGTAAAAGCTATAAAAAGTATAGGGAAAGATCCAGGTTCAATGCCTTTTCCAAATCTGGCACTTTTTATAGAATCGAAGAGCGGTGGTGGCGCAGTGGTAGGAATGCGGTACTGCAGGCTACTTCTGCTGACTGCCGGCTACTTGCAATTTGGCCGTTCAAATCTTACCAGGCTCAAGGTTGACTCAGCCTTCCATCCCCTGCCCAAGGCAGGAGTCTTTATACCATCCTGGATAAATGATTGCCCTTGAAAATATCCAGCAATAGAGCAGCCACAATTCCAGGAGGCCTGCAGTTCCATTGATGAATCGTTCTATCAGGAAATTCTTCCTTATTTCCAGATTGGATCTCCCTCTGACCAGTTTCCACCCATTGCTGCTTGTCAGGCCTTCAGGTGCGTTTCAGATGTGTTGGACTCCAAATCCTATGTTCCCCAAACACATGTTTGTAGTACTGATTACCTGGTCATCTGCCCACCCTTTGCACTCCATTTGCCAGTCTGATGCCTTCTAGTTTTATAGGGATAACAGCAGTGGTGAAATCCAAATTTTTTTACTACCGGTTCTGTGGGTGTGGCTTGATGGGCGTGGTGTGGCTTGATGGGTGTGGCTTTGTGGGTGTGGCAGGGGAAGGATACTGCAAAATCTCCATTCCCACCCCACTCCAGGGGAAGGATACTGCAAAATAGCCGCCCTGAGTGTCCGGAGAGGGGCGGCATATAAATTTAATAAATAATAATAATAAAATCTCCATTCCCTCCCCACTCCTGGGAGAACGATATTGCAAAATCTCCATTCCCTCCCCACTCCTGGGAGAACGATATTGCAAAATCTCCATTCGCACCCCACTCCTGGGAGAAGGATACTGCTAAATCTCCATTCCCACCCCACTCTGGGGCCAGCCAGAGGTGGTATTTGCTAGTTCTCCAGACTACTCAAAATTTCTGCTACCGGTTCTCCAGAACCTGTCAGAACCTGCTGGATTCAGGTTCTGAATCCAGCAGATTCGGAATGTTATCCAGGATGTCAGAACCCTGGATAACAGTTCCCACTGGGCCCATTTAACAGCTGCTGTCAGGGAGGCTGACTTAGGGTGTGGCATCGGAGTGGAGACATAAGGTTTTAAAGCCCACTCAGCCGGGAAGCTCAATTTGGCTCTGTCAATCTCTCCCTTCCTCATCTATTTCACAGTGTGGTTGTGATGTTTCAAAGTATCGCTTTATAAGGCCTTGGTAAGACCACACCTGGAATACTGGATCCAGTTTTGGTCGCCACGATGTAAAAAAGATGTTGAAACTCTAGAAAGAGTGCAGAGAAGAGCAACAAAGCGGATTAGGGGACTGGAGGCTAAAACATACGAAGAACGGTTGCAGGAACTGGGTATGTCTAGTTTGATGAAAAGAAGGACATGGGGAGACATGAGAGCAGTCTTCTAATATCTCAGGGGCTGCCCCAAAGAAGAGGGAGTCAAGCTATTCTCCAAAGCATCTGAAGGCAGGACAAGAAGCAACGGATGGAAACTAATCAAGGAGAGAAGCAACTTAGAACTAAGGAGAAATTTCCCGACATTGAGAACAATTAACCAGTGGAACAACTTGCCTCCAGAAGTTGTGAGTTCTCCAACACTGGAAGTTTTAAAGAAGATGTAGGACAACCATTTGTCTGAAGTGGTATAAGGTTTCCTGCCTAAGCAGTGGGTTGGACTAGAAGACCTCCAAGGTCCCTTCCAACTGTGTTATTCTTCTGTTCTGGAGTGCTGGAGGCAATCATATCTGAATTATTAGAAGCAGGGAGGAAGGAAAAGAGAAATCCTATATCGTGTATAGTGAGGTAAGCAGAAGAGTTCTGAGTGTGGCTAATTTGTCCATATGTGGTCAGTACCCACACACACACGCACAACTTTTCCAGGTTCAGCGCCACGTGGCATGCTGAAATTAATAAACACCCTGTTCTGGCATAATGGATGCCCAGAACCTCGATTACTCTTTCATTCAAAGCTAGACCTTCAAAAATTACAGGCCAATGGAAAAGGAAACAGGTAACAACTTGGGGTACTCACCGGTTGAGAAAGGTGTTTCCAAAAGGGTTGAGTTTTCGGAAGGGCTTTTTGGGGTCGACAATCAGGGCATTGCCCGGTATGATCCCCTCCGTTTCACCGTGCATGACAGCAATGAAAGAGTCTGTGGTGGGTTCGGGTCCAATTCGGCTCCCGGGAATATCTTGCTCCAGCAAGTATTTAATGAAGGTGGTTTTGCCAGTTGAGTACTGGCCTACCACCAACACCATGGGCTTGTTGTCAAAGTCGGCATCTTCCAGAGCCGGCGAGTGGAAATCGTGGAAGCGATAAAACTCTTCCACGGGAAGGAGCTTCCTCTTGTAGAGGTCCTTCAAACCTTCGGTAACCGTACGGATGACCTCTGGGGTCTTCTTCTCGTTCTTTTTCATCCAGCTGAACATCTTGACTGCCCTGAGAATTCAGCACCTTTTGTCCGCTTCCTTGGTAATAAATTCTAAACACAGGTGAGGGCACAGCGGAAGAGAAGAAAAGCTCTGGCAGAGAGAACCATAGACCTCCAAGAGAACTCGATCTGGAATGTCAACGACGGGCAAGGCCCAACGATCAAATCCAGGGACTCGATCCAGCTAAAAAAGGAAAAAAAAAAAATCTTAGCTACTCAAGAGTTATCCAGTAGGCTCATGGATCCTTTAATCTTTTAGGAATGCAAGATCTCCAAAAGCTGATGAACTTTTAGGGAGTCGGTTGTAGGAAGTCCAGCACTTAGACTCGGTTTCCTGGAGAGAGAGCGAGAAAATCTCTTTCGCAGAAGTCGATACACCTTCGCCGCTGCTCCAGTTTGAAAACTTCAGGCTTCAGGGTGGAAGAAACACGGGTTTTGGCCCAGAATTCGGGAAAATCTGAGCATAAAGGGGATCCTTCTAGGTGAGGAATCACTGAGCTTCTTCAGCCTTTGAATAAAAGACGTCACTTTATTTTCGGAAAGGCTGTGGGAAGAGGCAAACAGCCAGCAGAAAATATGTTGCAGACGAGGGCAGACTGGGACACAAAGATCCACACACCGATGTCACTTTCGGATGGGGGAAAAAAAAATCCCTCTTGGTTGTTCGTTTGTAGAAAACCTGATTTGTTTCTTCTTCCCCCCCCTTCCCTCCCCCCCACTTCTGGGGTCCCAAAGAATATCTGAAGAGTTCTCTGGCATGAAAAGAAGTTGGCTGTCAAGAGGCATGCAGGGAGAAGAATACATTAGCATAAATTATCTAGGAAGGGAGGAGAACGCCGGGATGGCCAAGAATTGGAGAATAAGTAATGCGCAAAAAATGATGCACATGAACTGCCCCCCCCCTCTTTCCCCAAGTTAAAGGAATGTGGGATTGGCAGCTAAAGGCCTCGGATGCCACCGTGTGGTCCGGAGAGGAGAAAGTAAAAGTAACAGTAAAAGTAGGGGAAGAGGAAGGGGAAGGATGGAAGTTTGAATTTTGTTTTTGCAAAGAACTGTAGAGCCAAATGGGTTTCACATTTTCTCCCCTTTCTTTTTAATTTTTTAAACTGAAATTTTTATTTGTTTTAAATTATTGGGATTTTTAATTGTCTTGGGCTAAATTGTTTAATTTGGTTTTAAATTGTTTCTAACTTTTGTATTTATGTATTTTATTCTGTGCCTGTTCACCGCCCTGAGTCCTTCGGGAGTAGGGCAGTATATAAATTTAATAAAACATAAACAAACAAACAAACAGAATCAAGCATAGACTGCTAAGACTGGAAGAGACCATGGAGGTCTTCTAATCCAACCCCCTTCTCAAGATAAGAGTCCTTAAACCAGTGATGGCTAACCTTTCCCAGACCGAGTGCCCAAAGCGAACCCAACAAATGCAATGCGCGGGTGGCCCCAGCGCATGGGCCCCACCTCCGTGCATGCGTGTGCGGTCCCCACACACATACGCGGCAGAGAACTGAAGACCAGCTGGCCGGCGGGAGGTGTGTGCACACGTGCAGCAGAGCTGAACCGGGGCGATGGCTCGCGTGCCATCATCAGAGGGGACGCTGCGTGCCATCTCTGGCATGGGTGCCATAGGTTTGCCATCACGGCCTTAAACCATCCCGGTTTATCCGAGTCAAGAAAACACCTCCTTGTTCTCAGAGAGAAAGTTGGAAGCCTTCACAGCAATTCGCCAACTAGAGATCCACATTCAGAAAACCACCGATGAAGGTGGCCGAGGGTTCTCAAGCTGGGAATGCTGGCAGATATCAATGGGGAAGATACCAACCTGCCAGTAGTGGGTTTCCAAATTTTTTTACTACCGGTTCTGTAGGTATGGCTTGGTGGGCGTGGCATGGCTTGGTGGGCGTGGCAGGGGAAGGATCCTGTAAAATCTCCATTCCCTCCCCACTCCAGGGGAAGGATACTGCAAAATCCCCATTTCCTCCCGATCAGCTGGGACTCGGGAGGCAGAGAAGAGATGGGGGCGGGGCTAGTCAGAATTTTTACTACTGGTTCTCCGAACTACTCAAAATTTCCACTACCGGTTCTCCAGAATTGGTCAGAACTTGCTGAAACCCACCTCTGCAACCTGCTTCCGGAAACCGATTCCAAGAATGCAACTTGCGGTCATTGCCAAGTAATGGTAGTGGTGAGGGTTTCCCTGTCAATGGAAATCCTCAGTCATCCAGGTCATAGTTGTCCGAAAGGTGCTTTTTTCCCCAAGAGGCAACTGGACTTTCTGGTTTTTCTTTGAAGATGTTTCGCTTCTCATCCAAGAATCTTCTTCAGCTCTGACTGGATGTTGGGGAATGGAAGGATTTATACCCCTTGCAGACAGCTGGTCATCTGCATTCTTTTTAGAGAGAGGCGTTGAGGCCCCTTGGAGGTTGATCTGCGTCCTCAGGGTCATCCGAGTTGTGCAAATGGGTGTGGAGGCTTCTTGGAACTGCTGAAAGGACCTGGGTTGGGGAGCTGTGCTTTCTGCAGGATATTTTCTGCCCTGTGTCCCTTCACTCTTGTTGAACCCAGGCACAGGCTGTTGGGGAGGAGTCCATGTTGTCTGCAACTCAAACTGAAAACAATCCTGCAGAAAGCACAGCTCCACAACCCAGTCCTTTCAGTAGTTCCAAAAAGGCTCCACACACACCAGGGGTGAAATGCTACCAGTTCGGACCGGTTCGCCCGAATTGGTAGTAATAAAAGCGAACCGGTATTTCTGACGATCAGCTGTGCTGCACAATTTGAATCTAAATGGCGTGGCACAGCTGTTTTCCTTCCCCTCGCTGTTCTACTTACCTTAGAAAAGGCTTCTTAATCCTTTTTCAGCGCTGTGCGGTGCGCACGCAACAAACCGGTAGTGGAAGCGAATCGGTAGCAGACTTCAGAGCATTTCACCCCTGCCCCACACCCATTTGCACCACTCAGGTGACCCTAAGGAGGCCAGCCTCCAAGTGGCCTCAATGACTCTCTCGAAAAGAAGGCAAATGATCAGCTGTCTGCAAGGAGTAAAAATCCTCCCGTTCCCCACCATCCAGCCAGAGCTGAAGAAGCTTCTTGGACAAGAAGTGAAACGTCTTCAAAGAAGAACAAGAAAGTCCAGTTGCCTCTTGGAAAAGCACCTTTGGGTTTCCCTGTCGGTTGTGTCCGACTCTAAGGGGGATGTTGCTCATCTCTGTTTCTTGGCCAAGGGAGCCAGCGTTAACTGAAGCTATTTCCGTGGTCATGTGGCTAGCGTGGCTATATGCCAAAGGTACACAGAACCCACCCACCGAAGTGGTACCTCTTGTGCTGTCCCGCTCACTCTCACACACGTAATAACGGTAGCTTAGTGGATTTATTAATATTCCCCAGCAATTCCCTTCAGCAAAACCCCAGAACTGTCCCAATTACATCCAGCCAAAAAGCAAACCGATGCTCGACCACAGAGCAATGGCCAATGAGTCCGCAATGTTTCTGGTTTGGATACAATATATTATTGCCACGAACTGTGATTAGTCGCATGTAATGGAAGAACCAACTTTTTTTTTTAAAAAAAGTTTGATTTGCTATTTAAATAGAGTCAAGGTTTTGCCTTCCAGTGCTTGCATTAAGGTCACAGTTGTTCTTTGTGTAAGATCCGAGCAAAAGTCCTTCTCCGTGGACTTTTGGTTCTTTCCAAAGCACTTTTTCTTTCATTCAAGAAAAGCCAAGGCAATTTCTATACCATTTTTAAAAAGAGCAATTTAATTTACACAGAAGTACTAAATGTACATAATTCTTTTAAAAAATCGTTATACACAATAAATACAGTACAAAATTATTTTATAGTACTATATTTTGTTTTTGTTTTTTTTGTTTTTTTGAACTGTGATGTTCAAACTGGTACCAGCAGGAGGAAAGAAAGAAAAATGTGTTATTTCTTTCTCTCTATGGAGATTCTTTTTGTTATTTCTTTCAAATATTAAAACAAGTGGGGTATTACTTTTGGCTTCCTGTTATATGGAAACTCTTCCTGTTATTTGGTTGTATTGGGTAGGAAAGTAGAAAGAGCTGGAAGAATGTAAAACGTATGTTCTTAATTTTTAAGTGTCCTTTTTAGAACTAACCTCTCAAAGCCACTAAAGATCAAAATCGGGGATTAATTGACTTTAGGCAGGTGGAGCCTTCCCAAAAGTTGTGATCTATCTCTCTCTCCTTTTTCCCATAACCCTCTCTTTCACACTGTCTCTCTCTCTCTCTCTCTCAGTAATAGCAACATCTGGCTGGCTGTATGACCAACCATAATAAAAATAAAAATAATAAAATAATAATAATGAAACTTTAAGCGTAAAGAGATGGGAATTTCTCTTCTGGTTTTGTGCCTATGAAAATTAAGGGTGGGGGGGAGAAAAAAAACCCACAATCACTTTGTTCAAAATACTGGAAAAGGTGTTACACATACTTCTCCATAACAGTGCACATTAATTGATTATTAGGCTTTAATTGGAAGGGAAGAACTTTCCCACTTAAGTGTATTGCAGCGAGAAGGGGGAAAAAAACAAAACAAAACAAAAAAAACCAGTGGCAACCAGAATCGCTTTGGGTGAAACGGGCGGCTATACAACTCTGAGTAATAAATAGATAAAAACCAAATGAGCTAACATCCCAAATCTACACTTTTAAAAAGAGAGAGAGAAAAAAAAGGACACTAAACAAAAAGCCAAACGATTTCATATACATTTCTCTCTATATATTTATATATATATATAAAAGAAGAAAACCCATCAACGTCCCTTTTATTGCTTACTAACCATTTGTCGTCCACCCCACGCCACCCCCGGCCACGGCACAGGAATAAGGTTGGGAAACCATGATTGCGCACTGTAACTTTAGCAAACGATGCTTTTCACAAACACCAAATCTGATTTAATTTGGGATGCTCTTTAGACCACTTTTTTTTATTACGTGAGCATCCAAAGCAGCCTTTTTTTTGAATTCAGTGGAGGGAAGAACTGCGGGTGTGCTCCATTGCACATGTGCTGGTAAAACCTACGTGCACAGGCATGGTCTACCTGGAGGGCACTGGATTCACAGACCGCATGAACGTATTGCTAAGAGCAACTTCCTTCCAGAAGGCGAAAATGACCTGCAATTGAGAGCCACTTTAGAAGGGGGGGGGGAGGACGGAAGAGGAACAACTGCTGGACAAGTGCTTCTGAGCATGGACGAAAAGCTTCCTCACCTTAAGAAGAAAGATACATTGCAACGCATGTCACCTTACAAAAAAATAAAATAAAAAAAGAGCCAAAAATTAAAAGGGGAGCTATACTATTCAATTGCACACTGCTACAAAGCATAAAGAGACAGGAACACAGTAGCTTCTCAGACATAAATCCCTCGGACAGTTTTCAGATTGGGAATTCGGGAGAAGGGCTCTGTGGAATGGGTATCTTTTCGAGATTATCTGGAGCCCGATTCAGCAATCCTGCCTGCAAATTCTCATGTAAGCACAACTTCATATGCACAAGGCACTCTTCGAAATGGAATACACAAAGCTGGGAAGGTGCTGGGGCAGGGGTGTGTGTTGTACAATTTGTTAAGCAAGTCGGAAACCCTTTGCAAAAATATGACGGAGTTGATTTAGAAATACAAAAATGTAGACCTCTTAACTCCTTTTTTTTTTTTTTTGGTTCTGTTATTTTCCTAACTTCATTTTTAAAGTCCAAAATATCCCACCACAGCACACCACGAGACACAGTTAACTTTAAAGGAGATGGAACTGATGCGAATGAATAGTCTTGGGTCCACAACAATTTCTTTTAAGCATTTTCACATTGTATATTTTAGGGTAGAGGGACTGCTGATATTGCCCTTATCTTTGGAAGTTAGTGCATGGTAAGGGGTATCAAAGGGCAAAATCCAGACTTCAGAAAAATGAACGCAGATGTATTTTATATTGTATAATGAATAGAAAAGGATCTGGAATAAGAAATGAAATGCAAGTTGTTACTAATAGGGTTATAGAACCTGATCTCAGAGGGAAAATATATATAATTAAAATAGGCCTAAGTTCAGTCCTTTTTTTCATTTAGAGTATACACACTGCTTGGTCCTCTACCTTTGAATTTTAGAACTGTGTAGGTATCTATCAAATACACTTTGATGCTGACTAGCTATATTTAAAGTATCTGTATGGTAATAAATGTATATTCAAATAGGCTTGTGGGCACCAATTAATGAAGGAGAACAAGACAATCATAATAAGAAGAAAGCAACACACATCTATCAGAAGTGGAAATGCTGGCTGGGGAATTCTGGGAATTGAAGTCCAGACATTTTAACATTGCCAAAGTTGAGAAACACGGTCTTAAAAGAACTAGTCTTCTTGAAAGCACCAAAACCGCAGTATTGAATGTATGTATGTATCTCTGTTTTTAAACAAACTGGTCATTATTTTTTAAATGGATGTATAAAATGAACGCATGGATGATATTAAGGCTTTATTTGTGCTTGTCATTTGGAGAGGGAAAAATTAGCAAAAGGAAAATGCTCAAAGAGCATTAGGTTTTCTGCACCTAAAAGAGCTAAACTTATTCACTATTCCAACTGCCAAATCATTCTGACGGGTTGGCTTTAAGAACACGCGTTTATCCATTTTTGAAGTTTATTTTTAGTGTTTTAAAAGGAGCATACCCAATTTCACCAAATGATATCTGAAAATAGGTGTTCGCTTTGTTATTTTAATGTGAAAATTTGTTGTATCTACAGATTTCCCATTTTTGCACCCTTCTCTTCAAAAAGTGGGAGAATTTGCTTTATAAACGAAGTTCAGCATTTCTCAAGACATTATCTACTATGTTTGGGCAGGCCAGAATGAGACAAGAAGGAAAGTATCAAAAATACATTGTTATATAGTTGCCTGCAAAACAAACCTCCACCAAACATAAAAAGGAGAGTGAAGGAATCCAGACAAAATATCTGCAATAGATTTGGATGTGGAAATTAATTTTTTTTTTCTTGGAAAGAAATGAAGTCGGAGAGTAAATGAAATTACAGCAATGGCTAAATCCAGTTCCTTTGGCACATTTCCAAAAGGACAACTTATCCCCAAGTTGAACATTTTGGATCTTGCTTCTTGATTTAACTTGCAGGACAAGAAATTTGAAACTTGAAATTTGATGTCAAGAAAAGATCTCTCTTCATTTTCATGCAGGTAGTGGGGGGAATGTAATGTCACCAATCCAATTTTGCAGTAGACAATTTTGCAGCCTGTTATTAGGCAGTTCTGGCAGTAACAGGTTGGCAAAGAGAGCAGCACCAGCTGCTTTCCGAATTGCATGGAAGGTGGCACGTAAGCCTTTCAATTTTAGATAATATACAAATTTGGGAAAAAAGCAAATGCAAATGGAAGGTTAATGGTGGCTGAAAGGGGAACACGTCCTAAAGTTAAATATCAGTGGTGCTTATAACTGGATCGGTCCCAACCAAAATACAGAAGGTACTGTTGGCAGTTTGATAAACTAGAAAGAACAACAACAATGTATCACACTCTTATGTAGGAGCTTCCAACTGCATACCGAATCGAAAACACAAGATTCTTCCTCTTTGCGTACAGCTAAGAAAGCTAACTTCTACTGTTAAGGTGCTGGTTGAGCACCTGCTGTTTAAGGAGAAAGGAACAATCCTCCTCCAGTCTAACGTGTTTATCTCCCTGCTTCTTTGCTTGCTAACGTCATACATCAACTAAGAGAGCTTGGCACAATGAACCAAGCTTGTGCTCAGACACTATGAAAAAAATGATCCACTACCCCATTGTCTTGTCTTCTCAGCTCTCTATATTGTAGAAAATCTATTTTTTTAAAATTAAAAAAAAGGGAGTGGGGGATTACCGTATTTTTGGGAGTATAAGCCTCCTAAAAGAGGCTGAAAATTTGGGTGTGTTTTATACTCCGAATGTAGCTTTTTCGAAGCTTTTTTTTCAGCCCTTAACATGCTAGCAAGTGAAGCGATCTCTGTGGTTTGCCTGCTTTTCTCATTGCTTCTCTCTCCAAGCAGGGGACAAAAACCAGCAAACTAATGTGCCGAAGCTGACCAGGCTAAGGATGCTAGCCAGATGAATATCTGGTAGGCAGATTTCCCCCCCCCCCCCCAATTTTCCTCCCCAAAAACTAAGCTGTGTCTTATACTCCGGTGCGTCTATACTCTGAAAAATACGGTACTACATGCATATCCACATGGTACAGGTGACAGCCACTAAACGCTTCCTCTAAAAAGGCTGATCTTTAGGTGAGTTGTGTTTATGTAAACAATCCCACCACAGGCGTACAGTTGTGATAAATGTACTGAAGAGGTTTATATCTTTCACTTTCTTTCCTTCGTACTTGGTAGGAACCTTTGTCTGTACCCCTAAGTTCCTTCCATAATATACCTACTGTAATATACAGTAATGGGAAGAGGTAGAATTGCAGTGAGGCCATAGGAACTTTTGATACTTAAAAGCAGAAGAATACAATTTCGGTTTCTTTGTTTTTGCATTACATCTCTCACCCGGAGTTACTTTTTCTGACGTTTTCTAGCATTAAGACTCAAGCCCAACTGTTATAGCTTCATTGGACCATTGGGTCGATACAAGGTTAATGAAGAATGGCCATATGAAAGCTAACTCTTACGGAGCCTCTGTGAAAACTCAAAAAAAAGATTAACACTTGATGTGGGGTGCTACTGCCCTAATAGAACCAGAAAGAGATACAAATTAAGAAAAGACAAGTCAGTCAGCTTTCATCACGCTTTTTGGCAGAAAGAGCAAAGAAGCCTTCAAGCTATAATGGAAATTCTGTGCTGGACAAAAGAGGTAAGAGCAAAGATACTTTTACGTGGTTACAAATAAGGAAGAAACGGTCACCTTTTTGAACTTTATACCAGTTCAATTCATTGCTTTTTGTAAGATCAGCACCAAAATTGGTCCTAACAAGTCACTGAACACTGGAAGTGTTTAAAAAGTACTCCTGCTTTTTTAAAAAGAAGCCGCTTAAGAGCAACGGTCTTTCAGATGGCCTTTTTGCTAACAGACTGGAATATTATTGTAGTCTAACTATATGCCAACAAAGGATCTCCTCAGCTATGTTTCCTTCCCCCCCCCTCGCAGGATCCAATTAAAGAGGAACTGAAAATGCACCCAACTCTTCAAAGAAAGCTAAACCATGTCATCTAAAACAGTGGGCTGTATTGCCAATGAGTATACTTACAGGATGAAAATCACCCCCCCTTACAGAGGAAGTAGCAATAGACAACATGAGTAAGACGTACAAGGAGGAAGAAAATAAGGAGTTGCGAAAGCACTTTGAGCACTATCTTATTAGGCCCCGGAAACTAGAAGAGGGAAGACATGAGTGAACACCCTCATCCGTGACGCTTACAACTAACAGAGGCTAAAAGCACAAGACTATATAGATCAGGGCGGGGGAACCCAGGGCCCCTTTATGACTTGTGGACTTCAACTCCCAGAATTCCTGAGCATGCTGGCTCAGGAATTCTGGGAGTTGAAGTCCACAAGTCATAAAGGGGCCGTGGTCCCCCACCCCTGCTATAGATAATGCCATTAGAAAGAACTCCAAGGTGCAAAAGGAATTAAGACTTTTTTTTTTTAAATCAGCATAGCGGTGAATACTTTTGTGAAAGGCTGCCTCTTTCATTATTTCTAAGAAGAACTGGGACTATGGAGCAGACAGATCTGTTTTGTATGCCTGCTCCACGTTAGTCCCTCATACTGGTTGAGTTTTTGTTTTACCGGGCTAATGATAATGAAGGCTGCATCCTATTTCAACATTCACACAAATGATTCCTATGATAAGCTATAATGTGGGAAGGACGTTTCCTTTTATGCTTATCCATAAATCAAGACTAAGATTGTTCATGATCTTGGAAACCACTTGGCGCACCTTGTTTCGATTTCACAGAGCGCTTTAAAATTTACCGGGAAGCCTCTAATTTGGGAGGGAGGGAGGTATTTCTTGTTGTTGGACAAGTCTAATAGTCCTACAATTCCTATGTTTAAAAGTCTAGGTTGTGAGGAAAAACAAGTGGTGGATCAAACGTGACATGTGGAAACCAGGAATGAAGTGCTGGTCAATGACTTATGAGCATGTGCAACAGTTTAGCGAGAGAACTAAGTAAATCTGAAAGGATGGGTATCTTTATTCCCATCGGTGAATGAGAACGGCAGAGACAAATGGGAACATGAATTCCAGAGAAGCTGTGGAATGAGACCCGGAGTAACATGGACTCCGTGGGAAAACTTGAGATAAGATCAACCGAAATTAAGGGGAACTAAAATTTACTTAGTTTGGATAGGAGTACTAAAATAATATCACTGTTTTCTTCTCTACGTCAGGGGTCTCCAACCTTGGCAACTTGAAGACTTGTGGACTTATTCTGGGAGTTAAAGTCCACAAGTCTTCAAGTTGCCAAGGTTGGAGACCCCTGCTCTACATGACTACTGGGGGCTGCTGAGACCTTCCAACCAAGGCATGGCCAAATCATGTTTTCAAAATAGAAGCAACCACACGGAGGACTGAACCATGAGAGGCAAATATAGGCAAACACAGGCAACTGTGGCACAGAGCAAAATATCATCAGTATATAGAAAAGGGAGCCAGCTTGTCTTTCTGCAACTGTCCAGTTTCCAAGCAAACATTTACCTGAGCCCCGCATGCAAATGATTAGCTTGGACCATCATGTGATCAAAATCCCAACTTGATTTCTTTCTTTCAGGATGGGAGGGGAAAAGAGGAGAGAGAAATACACATCCTCTTGACGGGACCCTTCCTTCTTCCACCCACCACGGTTATGGTAACGACGCCCATCATCCCTGTCCAGAATTGGACTGGTTTCCTCTTTCAAAGTGATTTATTTGTAAATTCATCCATGCTTATTGGTTTGTAAGCATTAGTGTTTATATATATATTTTTTTGCATCTTGTTCAGAATCTATTTTATATATATATATAAAAAAAAAGCAGACAGTTTATACTTAAAATAACTTAAGAAACCTGACAAAATCAATTACATAATTGCCCCATGTGCCAACTCCTTCTGGAAATTGTCACTTTACCCCCTGCCCCGTTCCTTTGGCCTCCCTGCTGGCTTCTGATTTAAGATTTGTTAACATGTCCTAAATATAGTAGTGGAGTTTGGGGAGAGGAGGAAAAACAAACCCAATTATCATCAGAGATTCAAATTAGCAATTTGTTACAGAATCTAAATATTACACAGCCAACACTACCTATGGGCCCCGATCCAACCCCCTCCCACCTGCCTGCTTGGCATTTGCTGAACCTTTTCTTTTTCTTTGTTTTTCATGGTGCATGTGATGAGGTGAGTATATTGTAAATCCAGCCGAAGCTCGTACTTTACAACAACTGAAACCCATCAAATCAACACTTGGATGGATGAAGCCTCTATAGGACATTCTTGTTGCCCTCCCCACCCCAGGACCCCCACTCTTCCCTTCTGGTATCAGCCCTATTCTAGCAGGTCTCTGGGAAGTGGCACCTTGGCTTCCAACCGTTCCCAGCCAGCAGAAGCTGCTGCAGCTTCAGTCCTTGGCTCTCCTTTTTCTACAGTCTTGACTCGCTTTTCAGTTTCTGTTATCTGTTTAACGTCCTGGTTCCAAGGCCACCGTTGTGATTGGGGGCAAGGTACGTGTCCGTGCGGTGGACGGGTGAGGAGAAAGGGGAAGAGGACGAATTGTAGGAAGAGGAGGGCGTTCGAGTATTCTGGCTCCCGGCCTGAGGTTGCTGCAAATTCAGGATGCTGTCAATGGCGCTCTGTAGATGCTCGTTTAGCGAGTCATCGGGGGGGCTGTCGCTGGAGAAGCTGGCATTGTCCACATCAAAAGATTCAGACTTTCTTCGTTTGGCTGGGGGCAAAGGCACCTCCCACGCGAGTTCGGAGGCCGACCCGTGGTCGAGTGGCTCAGTCTTTATCATGCGTTGGTAAAACTCATCTTCCACCTCTGCTAGTTCCTTCATAAGGCCACTGGTCGAATCGTCGGTCTTAGGAGGGGCAGGGCTTCCTTGCATCACCAAAGAACGGGCATCGCTCCGGTTGAAAAAAGTATGTTTGGTGTTTTCCTCCGACCTGCTCTTCTCAGCCACCGCGCCGGAAGGACTCTCCTGAGATTTGTGGGATGTGATAACACTTCGGGACCCCCCATCCTGCTTGATGATAAGAGTACTTGGCACCGTATCGGATTTTGAAACGCTTCCTTTGAGAGAGGCGTCGGGAGCTTTCTCGGCGACAAAAGCATCCACGTTCTCCCGGTACGTTTTACGCAGAGGAAGCCTGCAGTAGGTCGCCATGGGTTTTTTCTCCACTGGAGCTGCACCGATATGGTCAATGGTCCCGTTCATTTGTCCCGCCATTGAGGCCGTGGCGGTCGCCGTCGTAGCTGTAGTGGTGCTAACGGATGACGTGGACGAGTGCTGGTCAGCCGTTTTGATCACCGTGCACACGGGGGGCGGTGTCTGGTGAACGGGATCCAGTGCAGTGTTGTGGACCACTTTGCTAAGTCCGGCTTCTTGTTTGATCTTTAGCTTCAGCCCAATCCGGCTCCGGGCTTCGTAGGTTTTAATGGGCGGCCTGCTCCTGGAGGGCAGGGCATCGTCGTCGCCATCCAATGAGGGAGACGCTTTGGCCCACGTTACGGATGGAGACCCTCCGCTGTGCTTGATGACCAATTTGGTAGGGTTGATATGAGTTGGCATCTGTACCGGAGGCGATTTCAAGTTCTCGGAGGTCAAAGGAACGTGGCTGGGCAAAGACCCTTGAGCCGAAGAAGAAGAAGCAAAGCTCTGTGAGCGGGAAGATGAGGAGACATACTCGTCTGCAAGAGAAGAACGTACATGGCTCGTTTAGTCAAAAGCAAGTTGAGAAGGTACTTTTCGTGACATTTTTGGTTCGGGCAACCTGCCAAAATGACCAATAATTAAACTTCAATCTAGGGATGGCCAATTTCTCTTTCTCAGGCACTGGAATTGACCACGTAAATCAATCCAGCCCCTTTCATAAATAGACAATTATATAACACTGCTACCACTGTGCCATAGCAGTTCCCTCAATGAGAAAAGAAACGTAGGATGCTCTTAGGAGGGGAGTATCTGACCAGAGCTTTTGGCTCTCTAGAAATAGTTCTGCCATCTTGTCTACAGATACTGATAAAAAAAAAAATGGAAGGAGCTCAATTGCTTCTTTTCCTTATAAGTGGAACATTATAAAGTATCACAAAATAATTTAAATTTGGATAAATAAATGGACATAAGATAAAATTGGTCTGTGATCTACTCTGGGTTCTGGGTTGCTTTCTTTTTAAAGTTGTGGATGACCAAATATTAAATGGTTATTACTAATCATTACTAAACCAGAATATAAAAATGTCTTTTGAGGATTACCTCTGCCCTTTATGGCATACTATGGAGCATGGCCACTTCCAGATAACCATAATCTTCTTAAGGTTATTATCTTCACAATTAACTAGGAACTTAAATTAATTTCAAGCTGTGTATTAGGATGTGTATTCTGTTCTAAAATAAGTAACCATAACTTCTGACTTGGACAAAACAGGAAAGCCTGGTCAAGTGGCAACTTCCACATCCCACTGAGTTGTACTGTGAAGGGAAGAATAAAAAATTGCATGCACAAACATAATATTCCTTTATATTTTAGCTGATTAAATCTACATCTCACTGTAGTCTCCATTCCTTAATTGAACATGTGTTTTAATCAGCACTGAAAGTGTAAAATCAAATCTTCATAAAATAAGAACCTGTTAATTTCTTCCCCACCTGATTCCTTCAAATTATCTGTATTTTGATGCTCTGCGCAGAAGTGTTACTATTGTGCTATGAGAGCTGGGGTGAAATTCAAAAATTTTTCTCTACCGGTTCTGTGGGCGTGGCTTGGTGGACGTGGTAGGGGAAGGATACTGCAAAATCTCCATTCCCACCCCACTCTGGGGCCAGCTAGAGGTGGTATTTGCCGGTTCTCCGAACTACTCAAAATCTCCGCTACCGGTTCTCCAGAACCTGTCAGAACCTGCTGAATTTCACCCCTGTATGAGAGCCACTGGAAATGTAGTGGCTTAAAAGTGAACACTTGGACTAGGAAGTCCTTTGTGTTTTATTGGACAAATAACATTTTGAAAAAGAGAATGATGGAAGGCAGTAGATACTTTCAAAAAAGTAAGATATCCAAAATGCTGAAACAAATGCTCCCTTACCTGGCTTCTCCTTTGCTAGCTGTTTATCAAGAGCTAAGGTAGTTTTTTCTTCCTGTATGAACATCCTGTCAATCATCACCATCTCTGCCGAAGGACTGACTCTCTGCAATAGAAAGCAATATTGGCAAATGCTATCAGAATCACCAATCTGAGCTTCTTAATAACCCATGCCCCCAAATTTGTACATCCCTGGTCATTTCTTTCCTTCTGCCATCTCTTATTGCTGAAAAACTACATGATGCTCAATACGAGACCCAACTTTATTAACTACACTTTAAAGTCATAAATTGAGAAGGGTAAGAATTAATGAAATGATTTTTAATTCATAGATCAATAATACCAAGTTCTAACCGTGAAGTGGCCCGGTTTACTGAATGGATTGAAAATATAACACTTGTCATTTATGAGTGAACTGCATATTGTCGTAAACATTGTATGGATAAATATAATGAAATACGGGACTCAGAATACAATAGGTTAAAAACTTGATAGTTATATAAAGGTATTAGAAATGAGTATGTGTGTATATATGTGTGCAATGTTTATTGTAACTGTTTATTACAACAACATATTGTACCTTATATTTTGTTTTTTGTTGTTGTATTTTTCAGTTTTTTAAAGCACTTGATATGTATTTTTTATTATGCATTTTCATGTCTGGTTTCTCCCCCTCCCCTTCTTTTTCTGTCATTATTTTAAATGCAATAAATAAATTTATAAAAAAAGCATTTAAAAAAATCAAGTTCTACCTTAATTAATAATTTCGGGGTTTTTATTTAACTTCACTGCATTCTGGAAACTCTGTATTACAGTATTTGGAACAGATTCCTGGATTGGTATATCCGATGATAAGACTCACACAGACTCTTATCTTTGTTGAAATATTACAGCTTTTAAAAAGTTACACTGACCCTGATACGTCTTGATTATTAATACCTTCGCTATTTTTAATTTGAAAGTGCTAACATGATAAAATATTTTAGAACCAGCTACTGCTTAAGCCCTGCTGTCCATTCATCTCTTCTTATAAAAACGTCAACTGTTTGTTAAGTTCTAATAAATGAAAAACACAACTCTAATATGGAGTATTCCATATTACCGTGACAGATTCTCCCCACTATGATAAAAATGCTATCAATTTTTGGCCTGTTCCATGACAACTCAGTCAGTCAACCGAAGGCCAAGGAGAGGGACGAGGTGCTTGCTGATGTTATACCTGTTCAACGAGGAAAAAAAACTTACCCGGGACTCTTCCAAGAGGAGTAACCGATATTTGTTCAGCATGGCTTGTGTACGTTTCAACAGCTGCGTGGACACCATTTCAAATTCTTCATCTATTAGAGAAAAACACACAATGAGAAAGGAAAACAAAGGAGGGAAACTCGTCTTCTTGAATGGGAAGTGCAATAAAGAAAGCTCTTTGAATTATTTCGAAGATGTTCACTAAACATGTCGAAAAAGCCAACAATTCCATACAGGTACTCCTCCATTTACAATTATTCATTTAGTGATGCTTGGAGTTACAATAGGACTGACAAAGCAACTGTCCTCGCATTTATGACCATTGCAGCATTTCCATGGTCACATGATCAAAATTTGGGTGTTTAGCAATCGGCATGTATTTATGATAGGTGCAGCATTCCAGGGTTATGTGACTTTCCCGGCCAACAAGCAAAGTCAACAAGAGAAGTAGATTTACCAAACAACTGCAATGATTCAATTAACAACCATGGCAAAAAAAAGATTGTAAAATCAAGCATAACCACCTTACTTAGCAATGGAAATTCGGATCCCAATTGTGGCTGCAACTTGAGAACTACCTGTATAGCAAATGGAGCCCTTTATAACCTCCCTCCCAACAGGCAAAAAATAACATAATATCTACGTACAGTATAGCAACATTTGCAACATTCAAGAGATCAACAAGGAGAAAACCTCAATGGACCGAACAGAAGGAGGGTTCCTTCTTTATTCCCTTCAGTCACTGGATGCGGAAAGCAATCTTATCATTGTCATCACTGGCTAAATGACTGTATTATAATGTACATGTTAATTACCTTCTGAAGTGAGGAAAGCATACCAGAATGAAAATAACATATTGAAACACTTTGGACAGTTAGGAAAAAAAGCGCCATTAGACTCAGCAAAAGATTGGGCAACTAAGGCTAAAAAATGTAACAGACAACTTGATCCTGATATATCGGCATTTAATGTGGAAAAGTCCCAATGAATTCACCTTTCCGATAATCATGGGGAGAAGGCAGCGTTCCCTGATAGACATGGTAAGGTAGGAGCCTCTGAAAAGCATCTTCAAATGACCGAAATGAAGTTTTGTAATCAGGATGCAAAACTGCTCCTTGGTGTTTATGTAGCTGTTCCAAGAAGCTAAAGGGAACAAAAGAAAACAATGAACACAGAGAGCCAATCCCTGTATCATAACAAAGATAGGCAACAATTGTTTCATCCTGCTGAAATCTGTAGTAAACTATAATAAACTGGCTGCAAAACAAAAAACAAGTTTCATTTTTTTGGGGGGGGGACATTGTAGTATCCTGGATTCCTTTGCTAATCTACAAGAGATAAGAAATTATTCTACTTTCTATGTAATATATCCTGATACAAACATGGAGTTTGAGAAAAAACACTTTATACTACTGTTTGCCAATTCATTTTTGCTATCTCCTATATCTGGTTCCTGGTGCCACAAGCTGTTTCTAGGATGAACCTAAGTTAAAGATATATGTGAGTGAGAAAACGATCTGCAGTCTGCTGTTTGTGCAAGCAGCTTTACTTTACATATCTATATATTTCTTAGAAAAAAATGAATTAGGTTAGAGCAAGAGATCATCATTCAGAAAGCCTTGGATGACAATTTAAATGATGTACTACTGAGATACCGCTGACATCTGATCCACGATATTATAATAATTAAATAATTTCATTTTTCATACAAAATTGGCATGCTTTATTTGTAGGAAATCCCCAGAGCTTGGTTAAATTATTCTATTTTGACATTAATACAGTATCTTTTTTACTGTTGTGTTTCTGTTTCTATGCTACCTGTTTGTTGGATTGCTCCAGTTTCGACTTACCAAGCTTCCTTGCTCGGTTGTAGCATCGGGGGCGCTTTCTTCAGGCTTCCCAGCTTGTTGTCATACTGGCAAAGAAAGAAAATGTAAGAACAAAGAGGCAGTTAGGTGGAGTTGCAAATAAAGCACAATCCAGCATATCTATGGAAGTGGTTCAGTAAAAAGACAAATATAAATATATTCCCCAATGACTTTAATGATGGATAATGGCAGCGGAGGTCACAAATTGTGATCACATGACTGCAGGCCATTGCCAACAGTCACAAGGGCAAGATGGTTACCAACGGCCCAAATCACAATCACGTGACCATGCGGACACTGTGATGGCCACAACATTGAGGACAGTAAGTCCCCCTCATTCAGTGCTGTCATAATTTTGGGCGCTGAATGAGTGGTCGGTAAGAGAGGACTACTTATAACGTGCTTGATTTAGAGCTTAAACTAATAAAGATTTCCCAGAATATGAGACTTTTAAAAACTGTTAGAAATTGTTTTGCTTTACTCAATGCTTTTAATTCTCTTTTAATAAAAATGGTTTGTATATCCTATGAAAATTTATGTCATATTAAATCTGCTAGTTTAAGATGCCATTACTCTTTTTAAGTTTGTCACAATGGACTAACATAGCTCTTTTCTAAATTAAATTTAACATCTGCTTTCTGTATTTTTTTATTGCTTTAAGTGATTGGTTTCCATTTTGAAGGCTTTCTGGGGAACGTGGGGATTAAAGAATACATATGAAACATTTATGTGCTGTGTACACTGTACCTCTTAATTCAATATATGAACAAATATAGTGCTGTTTTCAGACACTATACCAAATCCACACACACACACACACACACACACACACACACCTCTTTGTAGGATCCAATCTGGGTCTACCGGAATGCGTATAGATTCTGGTAGAGAGAAGTTCCCTGAGGATGGGCTCCAGCATGAGTTCAAAAGCTTGGAAGACTAAACCTCTGGTCCCGGGGACTGACCCAGATTGGATCCTGCAACATTATCCTGGACCCGTATATTTGTTTTCATTTGTGAAACAAACCCTTTATCAAGTAATTTTACAATAAACAACATAGATTCTCACCTGCTGCTGGATTTGAGCTGGTGCTGAAGACATGACTTGTGACAAGCCTTTTCCAACTACCTGGAGTGGCAGCTGCCCTTTCCCAAGATTCAGGCCTGATGCGGAGCTAATGACTCCAGGCTTGGCCTGACAAGACAAAACAAAACAAAACAAAACCCAAGAAGGCAGCTTTATATCAAATGGATTAGAAGGAAGGAATGAAAAACAAACACAGGTAGACTTCACTTAAAGGCTTCCTTGTTTAGAGAGCGTTCTACAAAGGTGTTGACAAAATAATTTTATGACCGGTCCTTGCAGTTATGACTGTCTCAGTATCCCTGTAGTCACATGATCAACATTCTGGCACTTTAAAAATATTTAAATCCTTCAGAGCCTAGATATATACTTAGCTTTAATGTTTAAATAACTGTAGTCGTTGACAGTATTCACTACTATCTTAAAGTCAGTAGTTCCTAGCATTGTCTAGTGCTAAAAATGAACGTTCAACAATAATAGCGAAGATGAATATTTTTGCAAAAATGGCTTGCCAGTTATAACAAACCCACCTGAACTGACTGTTGTACAGCATGAGGAATTGTGGCTTTTCCTTGCCCCGAAGTTGCTTTCCCTCCAGAAATAATGGTGGAGCTGCTGGAAAATGTTTTATTCTCGGTAGGAACCGTAGCAGCAATTGCTGGAGAAATACGGTAGAGGAAGAGACACACATAGACAAGATTTTAGAATGAGATATAGGAACAAATTCCCAACACTGTCCCTATGGGGGTTTTTTTAAGGGCCAATATCCTAGATCTTACATAATTCTGGAAACAAGATAATTTATACAGGACCAAAAACAGATTTATGCACCTCTGCTCATGATAAAATGTATGGGGCCTGCTTGCCAGTTCCCTCCATATACTTGGGAGATTTAAATTATATGAACAGGAAAACTACGTAAAATTCACTTTTCAGCCAATCTTCATCACAAGGTTCAGCTAGCATTTAAGATTTCAAGATGCAAGACTTGAGAATTATATGAATCTTAGGCCAAGATCATGTGATACCCTTTTGCGACTTTCTGACGAGGAAAGCCAAGGGGGAAATCACATTCATTTAACAACCATCTGACTAACTTAACAACTGCAGTGATTTGGGAAGAAAAATCGTAAAATGGGGCAAAACTCACTCGACAACTCTGTTGCTTTGTAACATAAATTTTGGGCTAGATTGTGATTGTAAGTCGAAGGTCTACTGTTATTGAAAAGGACAGGGCAGAAAAAGGAATCTTTTCACCCCTCACCCCATTTCTTTTAAAAGATACATGGGGATACAACTATTAGCAGCTGCAGATAAGAAGGAATCTCCTTCAGTTCTCATAACAAGCGGATAACTATGAATTGACAAGTCAAAAGCTAAAAAGCAATTGTCAAGGGAAATTATTCCCTTTCCAAAATTAAAGGACACCAAGACCTATAATGCTCTTTATCAACTTACATACTGATGCTGATTTGACCAACACGGGAGTTTGCTGCTGAAGAACCGCTGTACACTGTGCAGGTTGTTGTCCTCCTCCTCCGCTTGTTGTTCCTCTCGGTACTTGCCCCTTTTCAAGTACAGGAGCTGCTTTGCCGGAACCTGTACTGGAAGACTGAATGGTTGTGGGAACAGGCGTATGGCCATGGACTGCTGGTGCCTGAGCTGGAATTGTTGTCATTGTGAGCTGCTGTCCTTGGCTGCTAACCAACACTGAAGAGGACTGGTTGCTAAATTGGCTCAGGGCGGGTGGTGCCTGGCTAGTGGACGTTGACTGTTTTGTTTGCAGGATAATTCCCTGGGGTACCTGTGAGAGATATGAAGGTAGAGTAGGAAAAGTCAAATCCAAAAATTGTATCCCAAAGGATTGGAAAACTCACGTTCCATTTGGATATAGCACTGAGTTTATCAGAACAAACCCTAAGCACCTGGGAATGTGGAAAGTAATGTTTTTTCAGCATGTAGATTTTTATTGATCACTTGAGAATTATAATACCAACACTAATGGGAAAATGGGTTAAAGTTTCTAGATCAGTTAAATCCCAGGAAATAGATATTATTCTAGACAGTAACTCAAAGATCAGTTCATTGGTTATAAAGAGGATAAAGATTTTGTGGTTATAAAGGATAACCTGTATCATATACAGGAAAGCCAGTTTGGTATAGTGCTTAAGGCCTTGGGCTAGATAGCAGGAGACCATGGGTTCTAGTCTCGCCTTAAGCAGAGCCAGCCAGTTGATCTTGGGCCAGTCACTCTCTCTCTCAACTCTAGGAAGAAGGTAATGGCAAACTGTTCCTGAAAATATTGCCAAGAAAACCGCAGGGACTAGTCCAGGCAGTCTCCAGAAATCAATGTTGATTCGAAGGCATAAAATACAGATACCAAATACAAAAAATAGAAAAGCCACCTTTGTCTCCATCATTTACGATGCTTGACACAAGTCTTCCTCAAGCAGGAGTTTTACTTTCTTCTGTTTAACTGGTGGAGGCATCCAAGATGAGAACTGACTTTGGATTTTGTTTAAAATTAAGTCCTTTTGGTGGCGATAGTCAGCACACACAAGCAGCAACAACACTGACTATTTAGATTCCGCAAATTCTGCCATATTAACACAATTTTAAAATCCAACATGCTTGAAATAAAGTTTCAGGTTAAGTTTCTCTTTAGTTTCAATGAAAGGCAATGGGAAAAAAAAAAGGTAAAATATTAACCTTTTGTAAGAATTCAGGAAGAAAAAAAAAAAGCTGTAGGACTATCCAATCTTCCCTATGGTAAAGATGCAAAAAAAAAAAAAAAAAAAAAAAAAGGAAACAAGATTTCTAGCTGGATGGAATTTTTCTTGTATTGTACCACTTGGTGGTTTCATAAACGCCATAAATGACTAAGTAGCACCTGGAAGCTATTTTATATGTGAAAATATAATTGCAATAATGAGAGACCCACTGCACACAAGTTTTTTTTCAGATTAATTTTTTTATTCAACATTATTACCATACCTGCTGAAACCGATCCATTAACTGTTTCTGCTGAGGAACAGGAACTGGAATTGTGGAGAGAGCCTGGAACTGATTTGACACCATCTGAAAGCTCCTCTGTTGTTCGGCTGTCAGGTGAAGGGTCTGGGTTGGGGTGGGCGGTTTAATAGGGCCTTGGGCAGGGAACTGCAACTGGAAATGGGGGGAATGAGTATGCTGCACTTCAGAAGAGGCCTGGATCTGGGGCTGCAACCGTGCCTGAGCCTCAGACTGGGGCTGGAGTTGAGGAGCAAGCTGAACCTGTAATGACAGATGTGGAGGGGTTGCTAGCTGAGGCTGTCCCTCTGGCTGGGCTTGTGGGGCTTGAAACGGTGAAACCTGAGGCTGCGAGGGAGGTCGTAGGGGATGCTGGTTGGAACCATGAGGAGAGGAAGCAATCTGATTCTGGATCACGTATAAGTTCTGCATCTGAGTTTGAGGGGTGCAAGACCGCGACAGGGGTTCAGAAGGCGGCCTGGATAAAGTCTGGGGCTGGGAAGGGGGTCTTGAGTGAGGCCGGGAAGGTGGCCGGGAAAGGGGCTGAGGCTGGGACGGAGGACGGGACTGGTGTGGAGATTGGATCTGGGAAAGGTGTGTGGGCTGGAGCTGGGGGTTTTCCCCCATTGAAGGATGAGGTAGTGAGTGGGATGGAGAGGCTCCAGGAAGTTTCTGCTGCCCTGAAGGCAACTGAAAGAGAGGAAGAAAAAGGAAGAAATAGAGGTAAATGGGTCGAGATACAGCACTCTGAAGTGGCTGAGTACCAGAATGCAATAGGAGCCGCCAACATTTTGCAAATCCCAAGCTCACAGTTGTCAACTTATGAAAAAAAAGACTTTAGCAAACTTTTTATTAAAAAAGAAGCAGTTTTTCTCCCTCTCTTATTTCATTCCCAGTTTATTCTGGAAGAGATCCTGTGCCATGAAGGGAAGATTTCAAGGGTAGAATATGAAACATTCATGAAGAATACTTTCGACGCCAGCAAATTTTCTTTCTATATCTTGTTTTAAAGATGTGCCTTTTAAGATTATGGTGATGAAAATAAATCAATATTGAAATAAAATTAAAGTTACCTGGTCTTGGAAGGAAAGCAAGTTAAAACTCTTTAAAAAGCCTCTGCCTATGTCTCCGTACAGAGTTCAAGCAGAAATTTAAGTCCAAAATGTTACATAGAGGCAGATTGCAACAGAGCTGCCGAACTATATTATTGGGTCTCCATATCAGCAAATTACTGTATGAAGAAGCTGAGGTTGGGGTTTTTGTTGTTTTTTTTTTGGCTATTTGATACCGGAGGAGGTTTTGTAGCCCTGTGCAAAGTACTTTGCTTCCCTTTCCATCTTTCCTGTCTTGGCCTCAAAATCTTCCTAGATGGCTATTGAATCAACCTTAAATATTAGATACAAATAGTCCTCGATTTAGGACCACAATTGAGCCCAAAATTTCTGTTACTAAGGGAGACAGTTTTATGACCTTTCTTGCCACAGTTGTTAAGTGGATTACTGCAATTATTAAGTTAATAACACAATGAAGGTCTAAAAAGGTGATCATGTGATCCCAGGACACTGTGACTGTCATAAGGATGAGTCAGTTGCCAAGTGTCTGAATTTCCACCACGTGACCATGAGGATGCTGCAGCAGTTGTAAGTGTGAGAAACAGTCAATGTGTCACTTTTTCCGGTGCCATTATAACTTTGAACGGTCACTAAATGAACTGGTGTAAATCGAGGACTACCGGTATATCTTCAAGTCCTATTGTTATAACCTTGTTTTCGTAGCATTTCTATCATCTATTTTCATGTCAAGAAGCAGTCTCGAATCATTCATTACCTTTGAATATCGGCTATGCCGCCCTTTTATACTAGGAAGGCACAGGATTTTACATTGCAATACTTTTGACATGCGGGCTACTATATACACTAATATTAAGAAAAGTCAAGTTCGCAAATCACACACCTTTAAACAGAGATGCAGGTTTTAGTCAAAGAGAATAGTACCATGGCTGCAACGCAGGGAAGACAGGAGAAAAGCAACAAAAGGCGGTAGTAGCAGCAGCACCACTACCACCAATTCCCAGGGTTAGTTGGAATCAAGAGAGAAGCAAGCAAGAGCAGCAACAAGGAAAGAGACAAACAGTGAAGGCCACAGAGATCCAAGGAAGGGCAAAGACGGTTTAGCAGACTCGGTCCCACCAGTCAGAGACTGGGATATTTGCCTGTTTTGGGACTACTTGGGGCAGACCCATGTGGCTCACCTTAGGTTTACAGCTGGAAGTTTTTCTATTAAGAAAGAGGAAGCTAGCTTTATCTTGGGACATTTTGCAGCTTCTATTCTTTTGCAGAAGAACTGTGCAGTGGTACTCTCTCCTGTGAACTTAATCTGATCTTGTTTTATTATTCAAAATTTGTAGGATTTGCAATCTACACTTATGAAGCCCTGCAGTCCTGCCCGTATCTACTTAGAAACAATTCTGTTCAACTAAGCAGGTACAGGATTGCAATCTAACAAAACAACAACATACTGGATCAATGCAAAATGACACTCTCAAAACTTCAGATTTCTGGGTATGTGTCAATTTCTTTCAATTTTAAAAAACAGAATTGAATTAATTTGGTTTTTTTCTTCTGTTTTGCATAGTCACTTCAAGACAAACAAGCACGGTGGCTGTTTCCATATTGTTTTATCTATTCTGACTCTCTCTAAAAATATTTTTGCTTCATGGAACTACAGCAACACCAAGGAAATAAAATAAGTGCAGGAAGAAGTGAATGTTTATTTGTTTTGTTCTTTGAAATAATGTACGAAAGAATTTACCATTTTCAGTCAAATTATTTTCAATGTAGGAAAAATGCTTCTGTTTTATTTTTGTTTGTACGTCTATTGCTATGGGTGCTATAAATTTGAACAGGAGGAGATAATCTTATATTTAAACAGAAATATTTATCCTGGTTGCTAGCCAGAAGGCAACTGTTCTGATGATAATTTCCCCCTTTGTATTATTCATACTATTTCCACAAGGGGGAGACTTCTATTGCAATAAAAGAAATCACGTAACCACCAACACCCAAGCCTTTGTTTTGAAGTGTGAGAATACAAACCTAGATGAGATGCTAATATTTCCCTTCTTCTCATTCTCTCTCTCTCTCTCTCTATGTGCTGCACTGAGAATGTGCAGGACAAAGCAAGTAGGTGAAGGGAAAATTAAGAAGGGCAGACATGTTAGACAGGAGGAAGTAAGGCAGGAGGACAGGCCAAAGCAGGGCAACTTTACGGATCTGCAAACAGGTAAGGTCTACCTGGCAAGCCAGTGCCTGCTGGGAAGGGCCAGTCGAGAACTGTGGTACTTTGGAATCCACCGGTGGCAGGTTGTGGCTCTGGTTCAGTTCTCGGCTGGCAGGCGGCTGCAGGGCTGTGCCTACACTGCTGCTGACTATCACCGAGGCTGGGACACTGCTTGTGGTGCTGAGTGCAGTGGTGGCTAGGCTGTAGATGGGCAGAGACATTGGCAGATGGGGAGGTACGGCAGAGTCATTCATACTGCTCTCCTGCTGCATTTTCAGAGCTGACGAATAAAATTGCTGTTGCTGCTGCTGCTGCTGCTGCTGCTGGCTCTGATCCTTCTGTAATCCAAGAGATTTAGCATGGACCATCTTCACATTATTTGCCCACCTTTAGCAATGCTGGTTATTGTTTAGATTCACATGTAAAAATGTTACTGAACTGAAAAACTTTAGCAAATTATTATTCTCCTTCCCTGCTTTCCCCTTGGTCACAAAAATCAAGCTTATGTAGAAAGTTGCACCCGAAGCTGTGCTCTGCGTAATTTTGTCACCAAAATTTCTTTGGTAATGTACAAAAACTCATAATTAATGGAAGCTACACAATCTACAGTATGTTCACATTCAAATCAGGCTCTGGCCCTTTAAAGAATGTAGTTTCTAATCACAAAGGGATCGGAAAAGCAAACACATCCAGCCTTTTCTGCTTACTTGCTGTGTGTAGAGAGCCTCATGAAATTTGACCCAGGTAAACAAGTATCAGTATTACCTATGAGAGAAGGTATATCCTCACCTCATGTCTGCAGTCTGCTAACTTGATTGTTCCCCTAATTATTCCATCGATTATGTGTCACTGAATCAGTGTTGACTCTTATTCTTTGTCTATATGACCATTAAGATATTTATATTTGTTGATTTAAATTACGTCAGCTGTTCAGCCTTACCCTGATTCTCAAAAGGCTGAAGAATTGCGGGGGAAGATATGGTTACAAATAACAAGCTGTCAGGAAGAAGTGCTGAGTCTTTGGGGCAAAGTCAAAGAAATGAAGTTTGCATATCAAGATTTGGGAATAGGAAAAAAAAGAAGCAACATAGAATATAAAAGCTGCTATACTTTGTTAATACAAAAACTGGCCACTCCCTTCCCACTGTTCTTCACTTTTACCAAGTGGCCTGCAAAGACTAATCTTGAAGACTAGAAAGTTTCCAAAGTAGAGAAATTCAAAGGCTCTGAGTTGTCATGGCCACAAACTTTCTTGACTCTTAATCCACTCATGTTGTGCTAGTAAATTGGCCTACCCTTCAAAAGAGACAGAACAGGCTAACCAAAGCATCAGGAAAAGCTGTGGTGCCAAGAATTATTTAACTTACCTGCTGTAGAAACATCTGCATGGAATCCTGGGAGATTACAGTTCCAGCAGCTGTCTGGCCCAAAATAATCTTTTCGGGACTTGATGCCACCAAATTAGGGCTGGACTGGGAAGTCACGGGTATTTGTGCTTGCTGCTGAGGTGGTGGTGTTTGCTGCTGAACGTTCAACTGAAGCTGAGAAGGAGCAGAGGGCTGAGAGGCGGACTGGACAGTTAGCATATTGGCTTGGTCACTCGGTAGCAGGTTGGTGCTGGAGGCTGACTGTGGCTGAATAAGACCAGGGCTCTGGCTGGTGGCATTAGGCGGTGCTTGTATGGTCACGGTTTGGTTGAGGCTCTCCGCAGCATTTAACATAGCCACTTGGTTAGGCAGAGTGACTCCTTGGATAACAGTCTGACCGCTCTGATTGATGGCACCACCGGTCAGTGAGGCCGCAGCAGTGGGCTGGCTTTGAGTTGTCAGGCTACCAGCCAGAGATACAGGCATCTGGAAGAGAGTGGGTTGGCCCACCTGCCCTGGTTGCAACTGAATGGGTGCAGAAAGAATGTGAGCTGTTCCATGGGCATTCTGTGAGGTGAGCACTTGTCCCAAATTGAGCTGGCTTGCCAGGTTCTGATTGGTGAGAATTTGGGCAGGCAGTGCTTGGTTTGTTATTAGCTGCCCACCTGGGCCTTGGCTGGTGATGATGTGAGTTTGCCCACTAGGATGTGAGGTCGTTAGAATCTGACCGCCCATGTTAGCCTGTAATGCCGAGAGCTGCTGAGGGATCTGAACTGTCGATGTTCCGGTGAGCTGGCCTGGGAGGAGGAACTGATTTTGACCCTGTAGCATAGCCTGGGGGACATGCTGTGCAGGGATAACGATGCTGCTGCCTTGATTAAGCAGATGAACACTCATTGGCTTGTTCAGAGTTTGTTGCTGTGGCGGTGGCTGCTTGAACATGTTGGCAGGCAGCCCTGGTGGGAAGCCAGAAAGCACCACATTCTGTCCCGCTTTGCCTGCCATGAAAGTTAAGTTCTGCTGAGCTTTCTGTTGCTGGAGAGCAGCCTCGTTTTGGAGGGTCAGCGTGGTGTTGTTGGGGCCGAAGGGTTTGGGGGTAATCTGGTACAGCTTCTGCTGAAGGACACCTGCAGGTTTGGGTTGAATCGGCGTGGGTGTCCGGTGAATGATGACATTTTGGGCTTGAACAAGCGGGCTGCTCAAGTTTGATGTGACCGTGAGCGGTTGGGAACCCTGAGCGGCCGATACGCTTCCAAACATCGAGCTTCCGTTCAGAGTGGTAGTGGCCACTGCTGGGAGGTTCTTCTGGATGACAAGGCCGGCATTCTGGGGGGAGACGCCAGCGGAGGCCAGGGTGACCTGCTGTTGTTCTGGTGCCGTCTGAGTGATGTAACTTCCTACGGGCATAGTGGCCACTTGGGAAGGCTGAACTTGCTTAGCAATGATCTGTTGAGCAGGCTGGTTAATTGCCATGACTTGCTGGCCAACAACTTGAATCTGCCCAATGCCCAGTGCCCCACTCGGGCTCCCATTGGGCAACCCTTGAAGATTGGAAATTGGTTGGATGGTGACATTTCCTAAGCCAACTTGTTGAAGAAAAGGCTGCACGCTGATGGCTTTGTTGACCACGTCAGCCCCAACGGACTGCTGCACCAGTGCTTGATGAGTTAAGACAGCAGGTTGCTGTAGTCCAATGAGGTCAGCCCCACCGGAAAAAATTTGCGGGGTACCATCCGAGGCAGTGTGCACCACTGGTTGGAGCGTAGGGAGCTGAAAAGAACCCAGATCGAGTTCTGCCTCTGCTTCCAGAGTCTGCTCGGTGATGTTTGCCTCCTGCAAACTCTGTTGGAGGATATCACATGGTTGATCTGAATTCTGTAGATTGGCTCCACCTCCTGAAGGCGAGCCCAGAATGTCATCTTCCAAGAAGTCTAAATCAACACTTGTTGTGGGTTGGCTTTGCTCAGCGTTCAAATGATTGCCAGAGGTTTCTTGCACATGCAGCTAGTGACAAGTGAAAATGAAAGCACAGTGAGAGTGAAATAAATATTAATGGAACAGAACTTGTGGATCTTTTTGTGTTCTGTTTTTAGTATATAAATAACAATTCTATTACTCCATAACCTCTTCATGTTAATGACCTTTAATGCATAAAATTTAATGGTTTACTTTTCTTTAGATCTATGTTAGCTAGGTTTAGATTTCCGGCATCTATTCAATAATCACCATAAGAGAAACCTCTCTCACTAAACCCAGTTCTATTAGCCACACAGGAGAAAAGCTAGATAAAAAATGAAGTGGAAAAAACTGAGTGGAAGAGACGATTCAAATTGAGGAATAGTACTGAGAAACTTAGTTAAAACCCAATACTCATTCTTAGCCATGATTCTAATTCTTATCCACTTCCACCCCCATATACTTTTAGGCAATGAACAAAATGCCAAAAGATCTGGTAATACTACGTCTCCCATGTCGTACTATGTTAGCTTTATGCTTTAAAAATGAGGTGAAAAATACATACCCCAGCACCCTCAAAGAAGGCACTGGCTGCATCTCCCGTGTTGTCCAAGAGATCATCACTGTCAATCTGTTATTAAAATAAAAATAAAAATACTGTTATTGTATGTAAATTCAAAGATGACGGTATTTGAGGAATTGGAGTATTATGGAAAAGAGATGAAATGGTATAACTTTACCTGGATAAGACAATGTTTAAATTCCTGTCAGTGGCTAGGTTTCTTTCCGGAAACTAGGCACATACTTCCCTTAAGAGGTGAAATTATCTGCCTCTTCACTTTAGTCAGGAAATAAATAGTTTATCCTCCTACCTAGTAATTTTGTGATAACATTTATTTTCCACCATGCAAAGTTTCTGGAGAAAATGACTTGGAGAAAAGTCTGCTCAGATCATTAGTTCTAAGACTGGTACCATCTCAATTTTCTTCATCACTTTTCTTTTTAAAGGCAAATGAGCCAAGGGTAATTATTGCATAGAGGTATTTGTTAAGTAAACATTTAATTTCATTTAAAATGAAGAATAAAACCTTACCTTTTCAGATCCATGTAAAAAATCATTCAAGGCCTGAGGATCACTGGAAAAATAGTTGAGATAAATTTGTTTAAGGATGACTAGAAGAATTTAATTTTATCTATTGTCTTCATAGCTTACAAGCTACATTAGATTTATTGGTATTCTGGCAGAATACATATTATATAGAAAGAAACAAAACATATGTATAGGTAAGCTAAAAGGACACACATAAACACATATATAAAATTAATCTCAATTTTTACAAGTTAAGAGTGATTTCTTGGTTTCTCTTCTATTACTTTGGACCACAAAAACATTTGGTTCCACTTATTTAGGATTTTAATTCTTAAACCATTAGTAATGTTTATTTACATGAAATAGTCTATAATATAAAATATTGTTCTAAAATATAACAACTAAGTTACTCTGCTTTGACCTACTGTTATCTAAAACAACATTCCTCAATGTTTGTACATCCGAATAATTCTCAGCATTCCAAAGCCAGGGAACTACATTTCTGGCATATATAAAGGATACCAAGTTGGGGAAAGCTGGTCTACTATTTTCTTGTACAACTGTTCCATCCAGCTGTCACTATAGACACAATTCAAAAGCTTCTGGTTCTATTCTCACCTCCAAAAAGCTTAAGAAAAAGCCAAGTGGCATTCAGCCAAATTTCACTTGGAAAAGCAACTAGTGGACACATAGGAGACATTCCAAGTTTATAGACCAAGCATGAATGAAAAAGTATTTGGTTGATATTTGTGAAAATTAACAGAAATCTCTGACTAAATGCTTTGCTACAAGAGTGGAAAAGAAAAGGCTGTATAAATCACATCAAGGGCAAATACTCACCAAATTACATCTAGCAAGCATCGTCCATCTTCATCATCCATGTCAACTGAAATGAGATATTGGCGTCTACATCAAAAACAGTAAGATACCATATACAGGCAGTCCTCGACTTTCAACAATTATTTTAGTGACCATTGGAAGTTACATTGGCACTGAAAAAATGACTTATGACCATTTTTCACACTTATGACTTTTTCAGCATCTCCATGGTACATGATCAAAATTCAGGTGCTTGGGCACTGAGTCATATTTATGACAGTTGCAGTGACCTGGGGTCATGTGATCCCCTTTTGTGAACTTCTGACAAGCAAAGTCAATGGGGACGCCGGATTCATTTAACAAACGTGTTATTAACTTAACAGCTGCAGTGATTCACTTAACAACTATGGCAAGAAAGGTCGTAAAATGGGGCAAAATTCATTTAACAACTATTTCCCTTAGTAACAGAAATTTTGGACTCAGTTGTGGTCGTAAGACAAGGATTACCTGTACTGTGTTAAGACGCTAGTTCAAAATACTGTAGCAAGCTTCTATCCACAAAAGCTTCTACATACATTTCTACAATTTAAGCTCTGATAGTTCCAAGGTTTGGGGCAAGTCATCTTCATTTATACTTTTATTAACCTGAAAGAATTTGGGACATCAAATTATTTTCTTATACTGCTTCTATCAGTTTTTAATACTCTGTGCAAATTAAAAATGACAGTTGTTGAGAATTGTGGTACTTGGCCAATTTTGCAATCATGCATATGCTACAACTAATCAGTCTTTGGAACTGGCAATGCATCCATCCATAAATGATAATTGTGTCATTTTTTTCTTCTGATGATAATCCAACTATATTTTATTATATGTACAGTATTACTACCAAAAATTTCTAGGGGAAGACATTTTGGCTATATTTATTTCTTGTTTGGCAAAGATATTGTAATGTTTTATGAATGTTTAAGACAAAAGCAATATAAAAGAAATTATTCCCATGCTCAATCCAAAGCAGCTCACATTAAGAACTCAAATTTTCAATTTAAAAATCATTCCAAAATAAAAAAAGATAGCAATCAAACAGATCAATCATTAGAACTTGTTTAACATCCTATCTCAAATGTCTCATAACAGGTATGTTGCCTTGAGTTGACCAAATATATAAATACATGAAAGGGAAAGGTGGGATAAAACAGTATCTGGACAATACCAGTTGAATTCAAGCCATTTTTTTCCAACAGGGAAAAAAATCGGCAACTGTGAAAGAAAGTTCTCATTCTGGAGAAGTAAAGTATTAATATATAAAACACTTGTTTTAAACATATTGAATTATCTTCTATAAATACAGAAGGAAGAACTGCACAAAGTTCACAATGCTTCTGAAATATTGAGTTCTACAGCAGAAACAAAATGGATACTTAGTAAGGTATAACAACTTGCTAGGTATAAGTATCCTGTAATCAAAGTTTTGAACGCACAAATTGTTCTCTTGGATATATACTGTACTCATGTTTTAAAACTAAAATGTGAATTGGATTCAAGAAGTACGTTCAATCATAAGTGCATATCAAAATGCAAAGATAAACACACACTATCAATGTTAATCTTAACCAGCAGAGCCTGTTTAATATTCTAATCAAGGAATAGAAACAGACACATAGCATACACATCTAGTATGAGTGATGCAGCACTTGTTGGGCTTCATTCAAAACTATGCACAGAAGAAATGTTTCAACTTGCAGGCCACAAAGTGAGTGATGCCAAGTGCAGTTTTCTGACACACACCTCCACTTTATCACTACAGAAAACACATCTCCTTGACACTTGAGTTTTGTCTGAAAGACAAGCATCCTCATTACTACTTGATATAAATCAGGCTGGCACAATACATGTCCCACCAAACAGCCTTGTGTGGCCTGCCAGCATTTTTAAAAAAGTCAATACATTCATTGCTGCCGCTGCCACCTTAAAAACACTCTGCTGAGCTTCTCCAAGTCTCTACGCCTCACTACCAGCTTGCTAAACAGATGATCAGAGCCCCAAGTGTTACTTTGTGGGTTCATGATTAATTTATCAGTGTTACCCGTTCCCAATTCCAAGTTGTGAAAGCCTAGTGTACACTGTTGTATTCCTTGTAGAATTCTAGAACTAGTGTATCTTCTAAAATGACTGGAATTTTTTTGGCACATTTAAATTTTTTTAAAATTTTCAACCTACTTAATGTTTTGATACCATTATACAGCATAATTTTAGAGTGTTAACTAAAAAAAATCAGAATGATTAAAATATTCTAAGACACTTCCTATCAACAGTGGTATTTACCTGAAAAAAAGACTGCTTTGACATCCCTGGATGGGATTGTTTCTGAAAAGACAAATTTACAAAGATCCATAAAAATGACAACTTGTTAAGTTGTGTTTCTTTATTAGCTGATCAAAAAGCATGGGGAAAAGTATGCTTAGTAAACCAAGTGAATGTAGTACTAGTAAACAAACTTTAAGTGCATTTTACTTTGAAATTCACAAATCTTCTGGATACAGAAAACAACCTTCTTTGCTGTGAAGAATGTGACATGTTTATTGTCTTCTAAAGCAGGGGTCTCCAACTTTGGCAACTTTAAGCCTGGCGGACTTTAACTCCCAGAATTCCCCAGCCAGCAAAGCTGGGAGTTAAAGTCCGCCAGGCTTAAAGTTGCCAAGGTTGGAGACCCCTATTCTAAAGGACAAAAAGAAGTGTTTTTCTACTTGTGTTACACCTTACAACCACTAAGAATGCCTCTAGAGTTTAGCACAGCCCTCCTGATCTTAGAACTGAACAAAAAAGTCAGGAGTAAGCCTAGACCAGCGTTTCTCAACATCAGTAACTTTGAGATGTGTGAAGACCCTAGTTCACAGGGGTCAAACTCAATGGCGTCATGTGAAGTCACGTGACATATCGTGATGGTTTTTGCCTTTGCAGAGCGGGGGGGGCGTGGCCTGTGTGTGATGCATCTGACCTGTGGGCCGCCGGTTTGACACCGGTGCCCTAGTTGGTTGGTATTTGAAATCCACACATCCCAAAGTTGCCAAGTTTAAAAACACTAGTCTAGTCCTTGTGCTTGGCTTCAGAATGGTAACAGCACCAAAGCTCAGTTCAACTTAAAGAGTTCCTGCCCCTCCCCAATAGAAGAAAGAGTCAGTTGTAGTTGCAACAACTCGGGCTAAATAGCAAGGCAAGCCTAATGCATGCATCCATGTTGTGGTAATGGCAAAGTAGTATTCAGGTTCAAATACTTAGGAAAATTCATTTCCAAATATACTATATACTTTTTTCTGTGCTCAAAATCTGGTTAGCTGTGTTAACACATGAGGTATGGACATATTTACATACAACAGGAAAAGAGAAAAGGTTTGAACAAATCCTTTTGATCTAAAGGAAGAAATGCATATGTATGACAGTAAATTTTGGTACATATTAATTGAGTAAATGTCACCTGTTCAGTTTACATAATCTGCAATACAGAAGCTACACAAGCCACAATAAATGGTTCAGAGTAAGACTTTGTGAAGCAAGAAAGAATCCCTATTCTAGTACCAGTGACCCAGAAGATTTTCATGTCACCCACTGAAGTAAAAAAGTCATATCCCCCACTAGTTGCACTACATTATAATCACTTCCTTATTCTCACTACACCATAGTTATCTCTCCTATCCACAACATCAGCCTGATGGATTTCAAATCTTTCCTACATGGAATTTTTGAAGTTGCTTTTAAACTACAATCATCACCTCTGAATTTCAAATAGAAGCTAAGGAAATGTTGGGCAATTAGTAGATTTCTGCATTTAACAGCAAAACAGCTTTTTGGCTGATAGCCTTGCTTAATACGACAATAACCAATCACGCCTAATGAATATGAGTTCCCTTTTACCATCAAGTAAGGAATCTTCCTCATCAGAGATTCAATGTTACAGAACAATAACATTAAATTTACTGGAAAAATCTGGACTAAATAAGAAATCTAGAAATTACATAATCTGAATAAAATAGTAACACTACTATTTATATCAAATGGCAAAATGAATGTGCATGGTGCACAATGCACACTTCTGCAGATGTTGCCACATCAACCCCCACTAATGTGAGGCATAATGAGGGATGCTGGGAGATGTAGCTCAACTATATTAGGATGGCCACATATTCTGCATCCATAAAATACATACTGTGGACACTTTTGTACAGTAAAGCTTACCTCTTGATTTAAATCATTCAACTCAATCCTTTTACACTTGCCATCTCCAAACCAATGTGGAAAAACAAATATATTAAGACAGTTCAGCAAAATTCAGAAATTTTAGTCACCATAATTATTTCCTAATATTTTGGATGAATATTCATTAGTAGAATAAAAGTATCAATACAAATATATTTACACTCACACAAAAAAGAATATTTAGATATAAAAGGACTTAAATTGCCAGAACATTTGCCAACTGACATAAAATATCAATCTACAATCTGACACTACTGATATTTTATTTCTTAAGATCCATTTTTTTCTTGTTTTCCCCCCCTAACTTTTAAATCCAAAGAAATTTCAACAAGCACAGAGCACCTATTAACACATCCCAGGGGAATTCTTTTTCACTTCATGTGAAAAGGCACTTTAAAATGTCTACATAAAAAGGTGAATAGTAGGCTAGATAATTATCCAGATACTGTATTGAAATGAGAGTTCAGAAAAATAAAAAACATGATTGAGATCATATAACACATTATGGAAAAGCAAGATTTCCCCCTCCCCCACAGCAAAGTTCTATTTTTTTTCTTAGATGTGGCAAAGCTTCCTTGTAAACCAGCCTTTAGCAAGGCAGTGGCTGTCTCTCTAATAGTGTCTCCTCACCCTTGCACATTTCCCATGCATCTACACTAAGCAAATCAAAACTTTGGCAGTGAAATCAATCTGGGTCCACACAGACCCATAGGTTATACAGTGCAGCTAGCAATTCCAAGGAGCAGTCCAATGAACTGCCATAAATGTCTTTCTTTTACACAAAGCAATTCCATTACATAATAGTCACGGTTATGTCTCATGTTCACGGAGACAAAGAAAAGCTGTGTTAAGTATTGTGGAAGATGTGCAGTTGGTTCGGTCTGCAACATTTGCGTACAGTGGAGCAGATACAGTCATGAAGGGAAATGCACTCTATTAGCAGACATTGCTCTTTTGAAAGACAGCAGAGCAGTTGTCCGATGCCAACTTTCCACAAACGGACATTCTTTGGATGTGCTGGGTTCCAGTGCCCATCATGTTCAGTCATACTTCTTTGGGAATGATGGGCATTGAAACAATTGTCTGGATAAACATCCATTTTATGGGGAAGGGGTTGCCTCTGAGTCTTTTTTTGACTCTTGGTGATTGCCTGGATGAGTCCCTATGATTTTCTTGGCAAGGTTTTTTGGCTGAGAGGGAGTGACTGGCCTAGTCATCCAGCTGGCTTCATCCCTAAGGTAAGACTAGAATGCAGTCTCCCAGTTTCTAGCCTGATGTCACAAAAAGTCAACAGTTTTGCTGAAAAAAGTTAGGATTTAGAAATGTCTAATTTCACTCGAGAGAAAGAACCAGATACACATCAGATCCTGAAGCCTTTGTTTGAATGATGTAATATACAGCTGTAAAACCCTCAAAGACTAATTGAGTTCAAGGAAGTAAGGATAGCAAATGCTAATGGTTCAACATTATGTGGGAACATTGTAAAATATTAATATCAACAGTATTTTCATTTTTCTATGTACAAAATGTAAACAATCAGGATCATTAGTACAATATGGTTAGTTAGCACCTAGCCAATTTTGTTTAATAGCAACAGTAGTGATACATCAACTGTGATTTCCTTTTTTCCATATAAAAAAGCAATGCTAAATAGAATAATTTAGTCTCCAGCTGTAAAGCATACTGTGTGTGTGTACACATATGCCACACACTGCTATTACTGCTACCAAAGCCAGAGACTTTTAAACCATTAGCTATCCAAGATCTATTACAGAACAACTGATATCCGAGGCACCATTTCCTATGGATTGAGTGATTGTTTTTCTCCAAATTCATATTAAAAGAATCACAACATTGCTCAGGGCAAAATGATATACAGACGCAACAATGCATGCAACTAGGTCCCAGAAGACTTTTATGGCAAGCAGCTCGAGCTCATGAGCCTTACTGAAGAGAAAACTTTATTGCATTCTCATTTTAAAATGATCTTGCATGTATTTTGAGGCAAGAAAATGAAACACCGAGACTGAATTGCTATCATAAATGAAACAGAAGCCTGGTTTAGTTCTGTTTCTAGTTTTCACAGGTACTGCAGAAGAGATGCATATCTTGAGTAATGATCAAATGATTTCATACTCACTAAGCTTATATGTGCAACTAAATTTTGTTAATACATTGTATGAACTACAGCAACAGTCATTAAAGCCAACTAATGATATCTGTGGCTTATTCAATGCTGGGTTATTTTAGGTCAAAAAGTAACTCAAAAGAAGGGAAGTCATTATGAAAGAAAGGAAGTAGGTTCATGCTAGCCCAGATACACAATACAGAGCCGAACAGTTTCTTTCTTTAGAAATACAGATCCCACAATGTTATTTTCAGATGCAAAAATATAGTCCAGTTGACGTTAGTTAATGTTGACTTTCTTATTTATTTTAAATTACTGCACTTTCTCCCTTTTCCCATTATTCCACAGCACATCCTGTGATGACATCGTGCCCCAAGACTCCGCAGACCACAGGTTGAGAACCACTGATCTAGAGTAATTTGTCTCTATATATCTAGAATTCAATTGTCAAGTAACCACTAGTTTTCACATTTCTCCTTAGGCAACGTTGTCTTTCAAGAATCCTTAACAGAAGCATTTCTTACAAGCAGTCCTTGACTTACGACTGTAAGGGAGCCTACTCATCATGGTTATAAGATGTGATGGTCATAAAATGTATTGGTCATGTGATCAACCTCATTTTACAAACGTTTTTGTGATAGTTGTTAAGTGAACACCATGGAGATTAAGTGTTGGTTTTCAGCAAAGCCATCATAAAGTCCAGTCACATGATTGCAGGGGGGCAGGACCATCAGAACTTTGAATCTGGGTTTTAAGTTGTGCCAAGGTAGGTCTGTCATAAGTTCAGTCACTAAGCAACTGGTTGTAAATTGAGGATCACCTACCGTGTTTCCCCGAAAATAAGACCTTGTCTTATATATTTTTGAACCCTGAAATAAGTGCTTGGCCTTATTGCCATGCGCTCAAAAGCCTGATTGGGCTTATTATCAGGGAATGTCTTACTTTGGGGGAAACAGGATATACTGTCATCCATTCCCTAAGAATT